TTACTAAGAGAAGATTTCCAATTTACAAAAGATATTTATAAACAAGAGCTGTCAGTAAGACAGCACGCTCGACTATTCTAAGTGCTTGATAATAAAAGAGCCTTGATAATGTTAAATTTTTTAAGTTCACAAAAGGGCTAATTTTTTTTATAAATTCATGTTATAGGCCTTAGAGAGACTCTAATTATACAGTATTGGCTTGACTATTCGGAAGGTAATGTCACAAGGGTGTTTTATTGAGTATAATAATACTAATTACCTATGAATACATACACAACTGTAAATTTGACAGAAAAAGGACAAAGGCTTGTTATGAAGATGTTTTATCAAGTAAATCACTGCTTAATTATTATGAATGCATAAAAAAAAGGCACAAACCCTTAGTAGTTATTGAGATAACAGCTTACAAGCAAAACTTTACCATGAATTTCTAAGTTGAAAAAGGGGAGAAAAATCAGCCTAAATGCAAGATAGAATTATGGATCTTTGTCAGTGACCTACAATTATGACCCTGAATGCATATGTGAAATTTTAAATAAATATCTTTAATAGTTATTGAGATATGTAAAACTTGCATGTAAACATTAACCAAGAGACTAAGTAGAAAAGGGGATATGAATCCGCCTTAATGCAAGATAGAGTTATGGAACTTGGTCAGTGACATACAATTATGACCCTCCAATTATGACCCTAAGTGCATGTGTAAAGTTTCAAGTAAATATTTTTGAAGACCTGTAACCTTTAACCAAAATTTCTAAGTTTCAAAAGGGCAAATAATTCTGCAAATATTGCAGGCAGAGTTATGCAATTTTGCAAACTGATGTACATTGTTACTATAAAAAAAGTATTTTAAATTTCAATTGAATATCTCAAGCAATAATTGAGATATTTGACTTTACAAAAAAACTTTAACCAAAATTTCTAAGTTCCAAAGGGGCATAATTCTTTCAATATTGTAGGCAGAGTTATCCAACTTGTCAATCTGATGTACATTGTTACTATAAAAAAGTATTTAAGTTTCAATTGAATATCTCAAGCAATAATTGAGATATTTGACTTTACAAAAAACTTTAACCAAAATTTCTAAGTTAAAAAGGGGCATAATTCGGTCAATATTGTAGGCAGAGTTATCCAACTTGTCAATCTGATGTACATTGTTACTATAAATAAGTATGGTAAGTTTCAATTGAATATCTCAAGCAATAATTGAGATATTTGACTTTATAAAAAACTTTAACCAAAATTTCTAAGTTAAAAAGGGGCATAATTCTGTTGATATTGTAGGCAGAGTTATCCAACTTGTCAATCTGATGTACCTTGTTACTATAAATAAGTATTGTAAGTTTCAATTGAATATCTCAAGTAATAATTGAGATATTTGACTTTACATAAAACTTTAACCAACGCAGACGCGGACGCTGACGCCGACGCCGGGGCGACTACAATAGCTCTCATATTCTTCGAATAGTCGAGCTAAAAAGTCCATGCAGCACAATCATGAGTTATTGATTTTATGTCTAAAACAGAACATAAAATTGGAAACAATTATGGCAAAATGAAAAGTAATCTTGACTTTTACCAGTACAATCATCATTAATAGTTGAATGGGTATAAGGTCACTTTAAGGACCACCTAATGATCATTGCTGTACAGTTTCATCAAAATCTGTCATGTGCTTGAGGTGGAGAATTTATTTATAGTTTGTTTTTTAATTTTTAATTTAGGTGGCCACTTTGTTAAACAGCCTGAAACTATTTCAGAAACTTTAGTAAAGAACCACTGAATGGTCATTTTTTTAGAGTTTCATCAAAATTTAACAAGCAACCAACACTGTTTAAGTAAATTTTCCTGTGGACCACCTACTGATCAATCTCATATGAGCCGCGTCACGACAAAACCAACATAATGGGTTTGCGACCAGCATGGATCCCGACCAGCCTGTCACTTAAACATGAGGAGAGCTCCTTTAAATTTGAGTATTTTTTCCCATTCTCCTCTATATTATGAAAAAAACTTCCTTTTCTAATATAACAAATAAATAAAAACAATTCTAATGACAAATGTGCTAGTGAAAACATACCTTCAGGACAGTCTCCTTATCTCTCCAACAGTAACTGAACATGATGTGTTTTCCTTTTGGTGTAGCCTGACCTCCAACAGGAGACTTCTTCTTTAAAGATTTCTGGTTGACTGGTAAAAGTAAAATAATTCCTTTCTACTAAGACATTCCTAAATTAATATGGGCAGGATGGTATAAATATAATTACCAAAGTTTGATGGTTTTCCTTGTTAAGAATAGAGTACAAAAAAAATTAATAAACTTTTTCAATTATAGCTTTGAAAATAAGGTTAAAACAGGTTGACTTATCTATTGTGAACATCATTACACCGTGAAGATAAATCGTTAAAAGTTTGTTTGTAGGGATCTTTGAAAAACTGTCATTTGCTGAGTTCTGGATAACAACTACATTGTATTAGACAATATAGCCATCATTCGACCGAAAATACCAAATTCAACCTTTAAACTGATATTGCAACATTAACCTGAAGAAAACAATTGAGCCATGCCATGACAAAACCAACATAGTGAGTTTGCCACCAGCACAGATCCAGACCAGCCTGCCCATCCGCACAGTCTGATCAGGATCCATGCTGTTCTCTATCAGTTTCTCTACTTGTATTGAGTTCGTCAGTGAACAGGTTGGATCCTGATCAGACTGTGCGGACGCGCAGGCTGGTCTGGATCCATGCTGGTCGCAAACGCACAATGTTGGTTTTGTCATGGCAAAGCTCAATTATCTATTGTGGAAATGAGACTGATTTAAGTTTGCCATCAGCATAGTGAGAGTTTGTCTGCACATACCAGAGTGCAGAACAAAAATGTTTCTGAAATACAACACGTCAGCAGTACAATAAATTTGGGAGTGATTTAGGCTTGCGTCACAAAGGGAGTTATTTTGATATTGTTTGAGACTAAGTTAATAGAGGATTGGAAGATGGGATTGATTGGGAACCAAATGGTTTCAATATAATATTTTCAATATAATATTTTTTATAAGTATTTTTATTCAATATATATTACCCTGTTACCATGTTTAATTCAAAAATGATTAGCCTTTACCACCAGTATAGAGCCAAGTCAAGCCAGTCTGCACATCCATGCAGTCTGACACTGTTGGTAGCACATTTTTTTATTTAATTTGACACTGAGATCCCTTTAACTTTAAATGGAATGTTCCAAATTCAATGCAGGGCAAATCCATTAGGTAAATTCGTCAGGCTGAGGTTATATCTTATTTAATTCATGCTTTTAATAAACTTTTAATACCCTTCTGAATCCAGTTACTACTTTCCTACAGAAATAAAATAGATTCTATCCTTCATGCTGACACAGTAATAGTAACAAAACTATACCATTTTTTTTTAACATTGAAATAGTATACCATGTGACCAGGGCTGGCAAATTATGATTTTGATTTACTTGTCTATTTTTATCTGAAACATTTTTTTAACTTGTTTGTATGATATTTATATAGCAAATTATTGAAAATTTACACTTGTCCGTATATGTTGTGGGACAACCTGGGCAATACGGACGATCAATTTTTCCACCACTGATGTGACAGCCATTATATTTCATTGTTCATCAATGATAACATTACTGGTGTAACATTCAATCTAGCTGTAGCAGAATAAAAATCAAAACCTCAAACTTTCATTTTAGATTTATAGAGAATAGCTATTGCTGTAGTAACCTCTACAAAACTTACCCTCTTCATGATGAAGTCTCTCATCTTTATCAACTAGAACAAACCAAGCACTATTTGCAGCTGTCCGAACATCCGCGTCTTCATTTTTACGCAGTGAATCCAAGGTTGTCATTAATAATTTATTTTTCTGTAATAAAACTGTTCATTATCAATCAATAAGCTACATGAATGTTGCTTTAACTAGAAATGTGTCATCATGCCACGGATGCCCCCGCATGCAGCCAAAATTTCAGATGGTGCATTAATTATTTTTTTCATTTTAAGTTCAAAGCCCTTAAAACTTTTCAATGTTTACACAAACCATTTTCATACAATGTTCAAGGCACTGAAATGATTCAGTCTAAACCTTTTAAAAATAGCATATTGCATATTTGTAGCCAAAATAATGGCTAAAAGTAAGAGCGCTGAAACTGAAAGTTCAAAATTTTTCCAACATTCAGGAAAGATAAGTTTGTCTTAAATCATTGAACTACAACCAAATTCAAACTTAAACTGCTTATTCCTAAGATGTATCTATATTATTTTCAAAGTGAAAGGGACATAACTCTGCCAAAAAATCATCAAACCATGACCAAATTCCAACTTGACCTGCCCATTCGTTTGACATATCCATATGTCAAATTTAAGTTGAATATGTAACACTGTTGGGTAGATAATGAACAGAAACTGAAAGTTTCATATTATTTTCAAAGTGAAAGGGGCATTACTCTGCCAAAAATCATTGAACCATGACCAAACTCGAACTTGGCCTGGGCATTCCAAAAACATATCCATATGTCAAATTTGAGTTGAATGTGTTGCACCATTGGGGAGATTATAAACGGAAAATGAAAATTTCATATTACTTTCAAAGTGAAAGGGGCATAACTCTGACAATAATCATTGAACCATGACCAAATTTGAACTAGACCTGCATATTCTTTTGACGCATCCATATGTCAAGTTTGAGTTGAATGTGTTGTACCTTTGGGGAGATAATGAACGGAAACTGAAAATTTCATATTATTTTCAAAGTAAAAGGGGCATAACTCTGCCAAAAATCATCGAACCATGACCAAATTCGAACTTAACCTGTTTTTTCTCATGAAATATCCATATGTCAAATTTGAGTTGAATGTGTGCAACCGTTCTTAAGATAATGAACGGAAACTGATGATGACGGAATGACAGAATGATGGAAGGATGGAAGGACGGAATGACGAAACAGGGTAACACTATATGCCCCGGCCATTACATGGCAGGGCATAATAAATAGAGCAAGAATTATGCTTGTGAAATATTTACTCTTAATTAACCAATAGGCTATATGAACAATTATTATGTTGCATTGATATATAGAACAAGGAATGTTTGTGAAATATGTACGCCACCACACTAACAGGCAACAATCATTCGTGACCCCCAAAATCAGTATGAGTTATCTTCTCGTCATGACCAACCTCTAACTGAAATCTTAGGTCTGTATGCCAAAGCATTCCCTAGTTATTGATTGAGTGAGCTTTTTGTGGCAAAGGTAAGTATAATTACACAGAATTTATGTTCCATCTTGTTCAATATACTCCTTTTCATATTATTATTATAAAGCAGCATGTTCAATTTTTAATTCTCTGTAGTTCTGTAAATACTGTAAAGTTAACAAATAAGGTAACAAGACCTTTCCCTGGAGAGAACACTCCACATTTCTCAGTGCTAGATACTATGATAAAAGGTAAATAGAAATGGGGGCATAACTCTGCAAAAGTGTTTGTCAGAATAAATTTACCAACTCATAATAAAGAATAATATTTCAAGTTTGAAGTGAATGCCACATTTTTTTTTCTTTTTTTGTGTGAAATGGACCCTAGCAAAAAAAAATTTTAGTCAAAAAAGGGCCATAACTTTCAATAAATTAATTTATATGCCCTCATTAAAGAGTTATAATGTGTCCAAAGTTTGAAGTGAATATAGATCTAGCTTTTATAGTTTCTGTGAAAAATATTCACTTAGATAAGCATGAGCACTTAAAACAAAATATAAATAAAATATAACCAAGAAATATACAAGAAATACATTGAAAATCATATATTTGTGCTATTCTCAGTCTGATTTTTCAATTTTGGTTCATTTTTCACTATTATAATAATTATTCTGGAAAAACAAAGAGAGCTAATGATATGAAATTTTGCACATATATTATTAGTATTGATCTACATCAAATGGAGTAATAATCTCAAAAAATTATTTCCAGTCCCATCATGTCAAAAAAACCTCAGTGGAGTCCCTTTAAACAAAAAGATTAAACAATGCTGACATGCAAAGGTCATGAGAATAACTCCACTTTTATCTGTGACAAGTGGAGTTAATAAAAAATTGTAACAGACTAAAAGAATATAAAGATATCACCTTTATTGCGACCTTATTATTGGACAAGAAAGCCAGTTCCCAAACTAACTTTACGCAAGCAAGAACCTCCGTGGTAACTTTTCCCTCGATTATCTTGACAAGAGTTTGTAGCAGATTCTCTTTAGACATGATCTTAGATTTATTGGTGTCACTTTGAGCCATAGCTGCCAGCCCATCAACTAGTTCAGTCAAGTGAAAACCGTGCTCTTTCTTGTCAGCAGAGTTAAGGGCCTTGACGATGGCTTTAAGGAGGAAATCAATCACGTCTTCCTCTGCTGCAAGCTTCGACACCTCTTCTTCTGTTATAATGTTTCCTAATGCCAACAATGTTATCATCTTTACATCTATAAGATAACAAAAATCATATACAGTCAGTACTAGCATTCAGTAAAAAGTAGAGATGTCATTTGGAGTCAAGATGTTTTCATAAGACAGCGCAGACTTTTGGCATATCACTTAGACATGCAGAGCTCTTGTTTAAATTTGGGTTATCAAAAGCCCATCAACTATTTCAGCCAAGTGGAAACCGTGCGCTTTGACATTCAAATCAGAGTTTGGTGTCGGATTCAATTTTCAGATCCAGATATACGTATAAAATATTTAACGTATCATTAAAATAATTGTTATAATTTTCAGGCCCAGGCAGCGTTAAGTCCCTATAAAAAACTATTGATCAATTCAACAAGACCTGTGCATGTTTTATGGGATTATTATTTAGTTTGTACTGTCTTATGAATACAATGTTAAAACGTAAAAAGACTGAACTGAAAAATAAATGAAGACAACCAGAACAAGTTATTTATAAGACAAGAATTTTACACACAAGTGTGACTATGAGATTGATTTTTAAATTATGCTTAATAGTGCAAATTCAGAACCACCACTGAATGAAATGATTCATATATGAAAATGTTTGAATCTGAGAAAATTTGCAAAATACAGTATGACTAACTTTCTTTATTTCTTTTTTTATTCTACAAATTAATTGGGAGACTATAATTGTGTATACAGCAAGAAATCAAAGATTTAGTCATGCTTTAAGGATCCAAAAGCAATCCCAAGTGAATTCTGCACATAAGCTTGCAACACACTAATGCTGGTTTAAATATTGCATTCCTAACTCAAATTTCATCCACAGTTTTAAGTATTTTTCTATTTTCAGTAACAGTGACATTGAACATAGGTGGGTCAAGAAGCAATCCCAGTCCACACAAACTAATGCTAAACAACAAGTTTGACTACAATATCTCATGCCTTACTCAGGTAAATGCCCATAAACTATTTTTCTATTTTAAGTAACAGTGACCTTGATCTTGCACCTAGGGGGTCCCCCTCATAAGCATGCTACACATTAATTTGATTATGATATCTCATTCTTAACTTAATTAAGGACAAGCTCACTCCTACTCCCACCCCCCACCCCCCTTAAACTTTGTGGAGTATAAAAAAAGATATAATATTGCCTGCTTTTTTTTCAATGCATAACAGTATGGCCAGAGTTATTTTTTTTATATCTGCTATATAACTTTTTTCTGTATAGTAATTTATACATATCAAAGGCACATTATGGCTAAGAAATGAATACAATCTGACTTCTTTAAAAATGGCATTAATGAATTAAATAACCTTCTTTTAAATAATGGTTTTAGAGCATGTGAGATGCTTGTTGTTTGAAGAAAATAGCACTATTATAACTGTGGAATAATATGTCATAAAAGTAGAAAAAATGTAAACACAGAAGTATTTTGACTTCCAAACAAAATACTAAATCATTATAAATGTACTTATTGCCAAATAACAACAGAAGGAAAGGATGGTTCAGGTAATTGACAAATGAGTAACATTTAAGAAACTATAAAAGTGCATCAAAAGTAAAAAGCTTTTGAGAAATAAAAATCAATGCATTTCTGGAACATAAGGTGCCTTTAAATATTTGCATTATATAACTAACATCAATAAGTATATCCCTGAAGAAAAAAATAAGTAAGTGTAAAAAACATAGAATACTTTAAAGGAGATAATTCTTGAAACATTGATGCTAATGAACCTTACCACATTTACTGCAGCTAATGATTAAACAACATATAATTTGAGCCGCGCCATGACAAGACCAACATAGTGCATTTGCGACCAGCATGGATCCAGACCAGCCTGCACGGATCTGATCAGGATCCATGCTGTTCGCTATTAGTTTCTTTACTAGTAAAAGGGTTGGGAAGCGAACAGCAAGGATCCTGATCAGACTGCGCGGATGTGCAGGCTGGTCTGGATCCATGCTGGTCGCAAATGCACTATGTTGGTTTTGTTGTGACATGGCTCATATGAGGTTTTAAAGTTAAAATCTCTGTGAATAAAAGAAATAACATTATGAAGTAACAATTTTTAAGGAAATTTTTTTTCCTTAGTTCCAGAGGGAGATAATTCTGGGTATATTGAGGCTAGAGTGACAAACCTTATCACCTTGATAATAAAAAACATGTACCGTAAAATTCCTAATAAACGCCCCCGGGGGCTAAACATTTTCCAAAAGGGGGGCTATTATTACAACACAGTTTTTCCTAAATCCAAAAATCACTGTAAATATATTTAGTGTTAGCAATTGTTGGAAATAACTTTATTTTAAAGTTCATATTATACATATTTGAGTTTACTATAAATTAAAATGGATTCTGAATGATTTGAATAAAATAATGGCTTAAATTATGAGTTCAGCACTGATAAGTAGATTGTTTTCCTTATCAAAAGACCTGGGGGGCCTTTATTAGGGGAGGGGCGTTTATTAGGAATTTTACGGTATGTGAAGTTTCAAGTTACCCCCTCAACAAATAAAGAAGTACAGTAAAATTTCTTTAATGAGACCGCTGAAGGGACTTTGCAAATTTATTCTTAATAGCGGGTTGGTCTCATTAAAGTTTGTTCAGACAGAAAATCAGGATCATATTTTTATGGATTCTAAAAATAAAGTAATAGTAAAAAAGAAAATTTTTTAAGGAAAATTCAAAGTTCAAGGGCTTGATTCTGAAAGCATTGGACAGTGTAAGAGATAAAAACCTTGTTACACATGATGTGATTAAAAAATAAGAAACATTTATTTTAAGTAGATCCCTTGTGCAATAATGAAGGCTAAGAAAAAAAAACATTTTTAAAGACAATAAAGTAATGTAAGAGTTAAAGATGTTTCAGCCTATCCTATAATGTCATTAACTTGAAACTTAATTCAGTTATCGATAGGTACATGTTTTTCCTGTTATTACCACCAAAACAGTGTTCCTACACGTGACATTTTCTTATATTTTAAAAACATTTATAAATTGGTTCTTCTCTCCAAAGAAAACATCAATTAGGGATGGATCAATAACATGTGACCTATCACTTGCTATTTTTGGTCATGGGGCTTTTGTCAACCAATCGGGGCTTTCAGTAATTCAAAAAAAAGAAAAATCACTATTTCAGTCATCTACAGTCACTACATGCCAAAAGAATGTTCCCGAAGATGGAACTGTTGTTCCATCAAGAACTAAAAATGTGTCCATAGGACACGGATGCCCCCACACGTCACTGTTCTGTCAATCTTATGACTCTAGGTCAAATATTTTTTGGACTACATGTGCCACAAGTTGAAAACTAAAAATCAACAAAGGGCCATAATTCTGTTAAATTTGGTTGCAGCAAAAATTCCTTCCTTTACTACCATCTACACCTTAAGGTTGTTCATCCCTGTAAGTTTAAGCAAAATCTGCAATCCGGTTTAAGAGGAGTTGCGTTCACAAAATTTCTACATACAGTAGAACTTCTATGAGTCGAACTTCGATTAGTCGATTTGCTCGATGTGTCGAAGAAAAATGAAAGTCCCGACTTTTTCCCCTATATATTCCTTATAAAAACCTATTTATGAGTCGAGATTTTATGTGTCGAATTTTTCGATGTGTCGAAGTTTTTTTGTGGTCCGTATAAAGTAAATCTAGTGCAATTTACCACAAATAAGTCGAAGTCGTTCGATTATTTCGACACCTTCCATCTCGAGACATTTTTCACACCTTATCTGGCTGCGAAGACGATTTCCAATCACATTGTGTGACAGGTGTTAATTACACAGCCGTGTGTTCAAACCGTCTTTGTTTGCGATAAAATGTGTGATAAAATGCTTTGATCGTTACTATTTTAATTGCCGTAGTGGTATTTGAAAGCAAAGGTGCCCGACGCGTGACCTGGACCCCCACCCCCCAACCCCACACTACAACCCCCCAATATATAATAATAATAATTTATTACTTAACAATAGAATTTTATATTTTTGTTGGAAACTATTAATTTGATCATAATATGCATATTGGATAGTGTTTTACAGGTTTCAGATGATCATTTTTTATTTTTGAAAATATGGGGGGTTGTAGTGTGGGGTTGGGGGGTGGGGGTCCAGGTCATGCGTCGGGCACCTTTGTTTGAAAGTAAACAGTAAGAACTACTTTCATTTGAAAACATCATTGACCCGGTGCCGCGTGAGAATAACACGCGAAATATTTACTATAAGCTGGTTTAGTTATCGCCCTTTCGTATTGTTACGCCTTTTATAACTCTATTGTATCAACGGGTAGTCCAAATAATTAGCATAATAATAATTATTTAACATGCTATATTTATCATTGTAAAATGTAAATAGCAGATTAATGATGGAAAAACATGAAATAGGTTTCGTTATAGATCTTATAATTAGGACTAGTCACAGGTCGAAATTTTGTCATGGAAATGAGAGCGATTCATGAGTCAAAGTCCCGATGTGTCGAAGTTTTTACGCAAGTCCCTTCAACTTCGACTTACCGAAGTTCTACTGTAGTATATAGTGAAAAAATCAACAAAGGGCCATAATTCTGTTAAATTTGGTTGCAAAATTCCTTCCTTTACTACCATCTACACCTTAAGGTTGTTGACAGTTCATCCCTGTAAGTTTAAGCAAAATCTGCCATCCGGTTTAAGAGGAGTTGCGTTCACAAAATTTCTACATAGTATCTAATGAAAAAATCAACAAAGGGCCATAAGTCTGTTAAATTTGGTCGCAGCGAAAATTCCTTCCTTTACTACCATCTTCACATTAAGGTTGTTCACCCCTATAAGTTTAAGCAAAATCTGCCAAACGGTTTAAAAGGAGTTGCGTTCACAAGATTTCGGGACGTACGGACGGACGGACTGACAGACGGACGGACGGACAAGTGCAACGCTATATGCACCCACATTGTGGGGGCATAATAACTGTTATGTTATAATGAAAGTAAAACAGTGCGCTATTGTTAAAAAAAACACATAAACTTGATGATAGTAATTACCATTTTACTCATTAAGAGGTTATCATATATTAATTAAATCTTTCAAATACAAAGTACATACATGTACTAAATAAGTACATACATGTACTAACATGTTTTGTTTAAAGCCTAGTATACATGTGTAAATAAGTACATACATGTACTAACATGTTTTGTTTAAAGCCTATACATGTATTGATTGCCAGTGATCTAAATTGTAAAATGAAAAAATGTTAACCAAAGAACAAATAAAAAAGTAATGTATTTCACTTATAAATTTACAAAATCATCAAAAAGTACATTGGCATTCCCAAGACGGCTACTGAGCTGTTACATTCTAATTAACTGGCAGGATAATATGACAACCCCCTATTCTCATAATCTCATAAAGAAACAAAAGTTCTACCCGCAAACACACAAGCTAATTGAAAACAGTATGCGATTATCTATTTTGGTATAGCATGTCACCTTATGTCATAATTGTTAGGGTCGCAGCTAAATTTACATAGACATTGAATGGGGCTTAATTCAGAAAATATAAAATGGTTTTTATAATAATTATATTATATAAAGAACTAAATATTTTGCTTTTCATGTCAATCAATATGCTTATGATATTAAACTAGAAATGTGTCCATAGGACACGGGTGCCCCCACCGCGCCACTGTTCTGTCAATCTTTTTACTAAGTCAAGGGAAATAACTCTACAAATACTGGATAAATCCAAAAGCGAAACCTCAGGTGAAAATCTAAAATATGCTGAGCAACCTGCCCATAAGGTTTAATGACTATGTCAAATCCTTTTTGAGAAACTTGCACCACAAGTTGAAAATTGCTAAAAAATTTCTAAGTGAAGGGCAATAACTCTAAAAATTCTAAATAAATCCAGACGAAAATACCTGGTGCACAACTGCACATGCTTATCAATATTCTTGTAAAGTTACATGACTCTAGGTCAAATACTTCTTGAGCTACGTGCGACACATGTTGAAAATTTCCAAATTTTACTAAGTCAAGGGCAATAACTCTGAAAACACTAAAAAAATCCAGACGAAAATACCCAGGTGCACAACTACACATGCTGATCAACATTCCTGTAAAGTTTCATGACTGTAGGTCAAATACTTTTTGAGTTATGTGCGACACAAGTTGAAAATTTCAAAAGTTTACTAAGTCAAGGGCAATAACTCTGAAAATACTAAAAAATATGCACACGAAAATACCCAGGTGCACAACTACACATGCTGATCAACATTCCTGTAAAGTTTCATGACTCTAGGTCAAATACTTTTTGAGTAACATGCGACACAAGTTGAAAATTGCAAAATTTTACTAAGTCAAGGGCAATAACTCTGCAAATACTAAAAATATCCAGACGAAAATACCCAGGTGCACAACTACACATGCTGATCAACATTCCTGTAAAGTTTCATGACTGTAGGTCAAATACTTTTTGAGTTACATGCGACACAAGTTGAAAATTGCAAAATTTTACTAAGTCAAGGGCAATAACTCTGAAAATACTAAAAATATCCAGACCAAAATACCCAGGTGCACAACTACACATGCTGATCAACATTCCTGTAAAGTTTCATGACTCTAGGGCAAATACTTATTGAGTTACGTGCGACACAAAAGTGAACGGACGGACGGAAGGACGGACGGAAGGACGGACATCCGGCCGAAATGGAATAAGGGGCCATTTCTTTTGTTATTTTCTATTGTTTAATAGAGGGCCAATGGCCCCTTACTCTATTGTTACGGAATGAACTCTTTTGTTCTCTTTTGTTCTGTTTACAGTTAGATGGCCCCCTATCCCTTTTCGGTAGTGCGGACGGACGGACGGACAAGGGTAAATCTAAATGCCCGCCACTAACGTGGGGGCACAAAAATTGTACAAATATGTTGAGGGATTTAAGCAATCCCAGTTTACCCTTCCTCTATGGTTCATAAAGTTCTTTGTAAAATAGGTCATAGAGTGCAGTACACATGAGCAGCTGAAAATCAATTTTCTAGAGAGGCAATACATGTATAAACCCCAATCCCATACTTACATGGAAATCATGACTTAATGTCATTTACAATGGTTTGAGGAATTATATTGTAATGGCACAGTTAATGATGTCACAGAAAATTTGCATATACAGGGGCATAACTCAATCAACAAGGAATGTTTGTGACATGTATACATAACCCAACCATCAATCATGGAAACCAATAAGTCATGGGCAAAGAATCAATACCCCAAAGTCAGGTACATCAACAGTCTTGTTAATTATGGCTAGATTTCAATGTTGGAATATTGTTGTATTTATATTCTGATTTGAAGCTTCCACTTTGACCTTGACCTATGACTGATTGACTACTTGACATAGCTCACTACTAGCATTCAAAACATAAGACAATCATTGCAATTCTTCTAAATTTATCTTGCTGAACAGAAAATTTGCTTAAAAAGGGGCATAAATTTGTTTTGAACTGGCATAACTCTACCAATGATACGATGATTGAAGTGAAAATAAAATTTAACATGTACTTTGATATAACATACTTATGTGCCAACTATATACACAATCATTCAATCATTTATATCTTTCCAAAATCTATCATGCTGAAACAAATTGTTAACAGAAACCCAGAATGTCAATCCTCATTTTGGTATTCTAATGGCTCCTGTTTTGTTCTCTCTATTTTTCTTCTAGTTGCATAAAGGAAAAAAGTAGTCACATATATTTTTGAGCTTTCTATACAAATAACATCAAAGGAAATATTATGCTTCTTATATAATTGTTCCCATAGCAATCTACATACCTACTTGTTTGAACAGACAGACATACTGATGGACCGACAGCACCATGACCATAATGTACTACCATCATGTTTTGTGTTATATTCTAAACACAAATTATTATAGAATAAGTTCAATGAGTAAAGCATTCCTAATAAAGTATCCACAGGTGGCCATGATTCATTACCCTTAGCATTTTTCTGTGCTAGTTTGATACGCTATTTGATACACTATATTTTCTAATGATCCAAACTTTCAATGTTGAAGAAATTTGGCAGATACATTAATTAAACATTGATGATAAAAATATTGTTTTCTTCCTTAACGAAAAATTTGTTGAGACTTTCTGACATACACAGTCAGGTTGTTGACCGTAGAACAAGGATGAATTTCATTAGGGCACCCAACAATACATCATAATCAATAAATATTTTCAGACATATTTACCTATCACTCCTCTAAAGCACAAATAATATGTATGAACATAACGAACCAAAACTCATTCAATTTGATTTGATTCTTACCTTCTTGCAAACATTCGTTCTACCAACAACACACAAACCCTTCATCATAGTTTTATACCTTTTCGTAATATATAGTTTTTCAAGGTTTTCAAGGGTAACTTACAAACAGTAGACTTTAAGAATGGATGCAGCAACTCTGTGAGTTTAAGTCTCCTGAATATCTCTTTATCAATGTCCGGGTTTCTAGCACAGTTATGTAGAATTCCTACAGCTGAGTTAAAAGCAAACAAATCCATGTCTTCAATTGTCTAAAATCAAACACAATACATTTATATAATGAGCCGCGGTACAACAAAACCAACATAATGCGTTTGCGACCATCATGGATCCAGACCAGCTTGCGCATCCGTGTAGTCTGATCAGGATCCATCCTGTTCGCTATCAGTTTCTGTACTTGTAATAGAGTTAGTAAGCGAACATCCTTTAATCTGGACAAATCTATTAAGCATTTTTAGGGAAATTTCCTAAATATCGAGTGACTGAATATTGGACAGTGCGGACCATGATCTACAAAAGGCTTAAATATATAAAGTTATAAGTCATAATGATAAAAAGTTATCAGTCATATGAAAGGTTATAAAGTGCATAATTTATAATAAATTTATACAAACAGGACTGATGCCAATCTTTGAGATTTAAAGTTTACATGCAAAAGCCTGTTTAATGGTACAAATAATAAATATGATAGAATGAGCTAAATTGCAATACTCATATCAGAGGCTTGGTCTGGTTCAATGTTCATAAATTTCCTGTTCTTATTAATGGAAAATTTTTAGTCATATATAGGATTGACATAAATTATGTACGTGCTTTTGTCCATGTTTTCTTTTCTTTTTGGTAACTAGGTCATGGAACAAATAATATTCTCACGTTTCAATGCCAACGTTATATCGATATTTAAAAGAACAAAGAGCTACAAAATTGTTGACATGTGTAAGAAAACGTGATCTCTGCCGTTCCAAACAACTGAAGATGAGCTCCGTTGGTAAGTGACAGATAATCTGTCTGCTTAATTAACAACTTACAAGTGTTATATTTTATATTTTATACTCATTATCTGTTGGGCAACTTTTTCAATCTTAAAATCTCATTAAAGATGTGTAAAAAGACTAAAAACACTGTTTTGTGAATTTCAAGGTGTGAAAAACATCGGCCTTTCAAGTGTGCTGATACGATCTTAAATTATTTTAGCTACAAGAAATTTTTACAATGTAATGTTCAAACTTTGAGCGTACACTTTTTTAAATGTGTTTTTATGTCTGTCATGGCACTGTGCTTTAAGTTTCAGCATTTTGACAATAGAAACAAACACTGATATTTTAATGTCAAATGTTTCGATGCATCTATATTGTTAGTGTGAATGGTTAAAAAATCATGAAAAATAAATGTTCAATACATGGCTGTTGTTTTTATTTAGAAGTACTTGTATAACCATCCGATAGTTGTGATATGGGAATAAGGTAAGGTAAGAATCTTCAGTGGTCAGTTTACTATACAAATAATTTTGATCCGAAGTGATATTAGTTCAAGTTATTGTTAATTAGATTTTTCAACTATAGCTGTCTCTTGGACAGCATCCTCCACTATTATCAGCGTCTGATAGTAAAAAAAAGAGCCCCAGGATAATGAAGAATTTACAATGAGGAAGATTTTTTTCCCCACAAAAATACGAATAATGTACATAATATAGTTATGAGTGTTGGATATGAAATTTAAGAATTTGTTAAGTTCACAAAGGGCCTTAAAGCATTCAAAATCAATGCCAGGGTTAATATAGGTCTTTGAAAGTGACCATGAATTGTAATTCAAAATGCATGAATCAGGTTTCAAGAGAACACTATCAGTAGTGATATGAAAGATAAATATTCCAAGTAAAACTTGAACAAAAGATATTCTAAATTCACAAATGGTCAAAATTCAGTCAAAATCCATGTCAGAGAAGGAAGGTGATTCTTTATTATGAACCTGAAGTGATGTATTAAGTTTCAAGTAAATACTTTCAGTAGATTAGAAGATTGATGTTGCATGTAAAACTGAAATGTTCAAAAAGGGCCATAATTTTGTTAAAATACATGCATGAATTATGGGCCTTGGTAAGTGGCCTTTAATTATGATCTTAAAGAACAGTATTAAGTTTTAAGTAAGTAGTTTTGAAGACTGATGTTGCATGTAAAACAAACCAAAAATTTTTTAAGCACAATTTTTTTAAGTTCAAAAAAGGTCATAATTCTGTCAAAATCAATGCTAAAGTTATGGGCCTTAAAAAGTGACCTCCTTATATGTCCTTAAATAAGTGTATGAATTTACAAGCAAATGACTTCAGTGGTTGATGAGATATGAATGTGCATGGAAAACCTTATCAAAAGTGTTACGCCAACACCTGGACGCCAGGGTGAATAGTCTAGCTAAATAAAAAAACTTTAATCTGAAATCTGAATCTGAATGAAGACATCTGGGTAGGAGTAGGACATCTCTCGTACACTTCATATTTTGAGTTGAACTTAAATAATCTGCAAATGGTATAAGTATTCATTTGAAATGTATTAAGATAGAAAAACATAAAAAAAATAAGCAAACAAGTACCGCCATATCCGCAAGATCATCTTCTCTAATAATATCTAGATCATGTGCAAGTTTATGGAACAAGTCAGTCTGTGAAATCTTCTCGGAAAATGTATGACTGCTATCCGAATAGTTCCAAAGTATTTCACGAATTGTGAGGACCAGAAGAGAGCCATGGTCACCCGGATACTGGGCCTCTTTTTCTTTCACCTCCTCAACAAATCCAGTGTTTATTCCATCCACATCAAGGTCATCATACACAAAGTTATAGTAATCAACCAATGCTCCGACAATGCTGAAATATTAAACTGTATGTATCATGTGGGCAGAGATGTATACTATAAACATGTTCCTGATGTGGGCTAGCACAACAATGTCCTACCTTATTTTCATATACATTTAATTATATATATACAACATATTGCAAAAAAAAACCTTGCAAGTAAATTACTTTGTGCTAACATAAATTAAAATGCAGCATCTCTTGTAACAGTATTAAAGCCTCTTTTTAAACTGCTTGCATTGCTAAGTCACTATAATTACTTGCATTCAAGTGACAATAATATGTTATTGTTATTACCTGTAAACTTGCTATGTAATAGATTTACTTAGCTTTGAATTTGGAGCAATCCATTTATATTGTAATATACAAAAACTGAGCTGCCACCTCAAAGTACATAGCCTCATCCGACAGTATTGAATGTGAAATCTCTCAAAAGTAAACCTTAAAACATTCCTACGGTATCTCATAAAACATTTAACACTATTTATACATTAAAAACCAAATGTGTAAATTCATTATTACTTATATACATGTTGATATAAATTCTTACTTGATTCTGGCTAATCTATTAGCCATCACCATACGCTGCTCATCTTTGTCAAACTTTGTGAATATTTTAATCATATTGTCTTGAAGCATGTGATTGAGTGATTCATAAAATTTTTCATTTCTTTTAGAGGCATCTGTAAGAAATTTTTTACATTGTTCAAATCCCTCGAACACCTTCCTCAGTTCCGGTGTCTTGAGTACATTTTTTTTCTCTAGTTCCTCCTCTTTATCTTGTTGCTGCTTAGTTATGGCCCCTATAATCAAAGATGGTCTCGATGCTAGAGGGCGCTTTGCCATGACTTTGGTCTGATGTTGTATAGATGGCAACTTGGTAATAGTGTCTTTATCTTCTGTGTAGCTATGGTAACCACTACTGGTTTCTGACGTGCTAGATAGTGTGATAGACGCTAAAGTAGCCTCTGGGAGTTCTGGTATCGATGCACCAGCACCCATTACAATTTATCTTGATACATTTTTTACCATACGGAATCTGAAAACAAAAATATAGAAGTTTATTATAATGACTAGCGGATCATTGTTCTGAATGATTTGATATAATTATAATTATCAAAATCATTAACCCTTTCACTGCCATAGGGACGGCATATGCTGTCCCTATTATTTTCGGCGTATTTGCCATATGGACGGCTTTTGCTGTTTCTATAATAATAATAATAATTATAATAATAATAATTATAATAATAATAGTTATAATAATAATAGTTATCATAATAAATATATAGATAATTATACCATCGACAATAATTATTATTATACTAGCAGATTTGGAAACATATATAATTATTATAATACTAATAACAAATAATAATAATAATATTCATTAATAATATAGTAATTTCTTAGAAAACCTTCTGGCAAATAGGTGATCAATAAATAAATAAACAACCCTCTGGCAGCGAAAGGGTTAATAATATTATAAAACAAGAGAGCCATCAAGGGTCTCCATTGCTCACCTACAATGCATTGCATTTGACCAAACTAAATTGATTTCAAAAGTTAACTAGACAATGCCACATAGCAAATATCTTAACTATATAAAATCTTTTGCTTTGAGCATTTTCTAATCAAATTTGCTTTCATACAGGCTATATAAACTAATAGTCAAAATATATTGACGTGCCAAAGCTTGATTCTGAGATATTTTCGTTCTGGGGCAGAATGTCGCTATTGCCCAGACACGAAAATAGCACAATATCTCGTCGCGCAGTACAATTAGTTGGACTATATAAACTAAGTGACCCCCTGGGGCAGGAACCAATTTTGACCAGGGAGGTATGATTCATATTAGCCCAACAAATTGTGCGCTTTAGGGCTTTTTTTTATATATACGATGGTCGCCCTTCGCGCACAACCCACTTATGATTCAAAACAATGCGGCAAGTTTTCCTTCTTTGTGTATGTGCCAGCGACCAGAATCTCGTCGCTAACTTTGACGGCTTCAAATATTTATTTAAACTCAACATTTCTTGAAAAAAAATACATACCTGCAAAGCTTATTCAAAATAGAATTAATTTAATGAAAATTGATCAGAAAGTTGTATGTTTTTAATGCACAATGGTTACAAATTCCTACTCATATCAACGTTTTTTGTTTTACACCGCTAAAACTCTACCTAACGGTAGTGTATTGATAAATCTCACTAGCTTGCAGTATGTACTGCGGGAATTCCGTTGTACACATGAAAACGGGTTTTGTGGTTGTTTCGTCTGCAAATGTTTTATTTAGTCCTTTAGTGAATAAATTAACTAGGGTATCCAGGCAATAACTCAAACGTTTAGTACAGATTAATACACACGTCCTGGGCATTGATACTGTCATTTTGCAATTGCTATCTATATATATATATTATATTAAAACTGACGAGAATGTATACATATTTCTTAGAAAGTTTGTTAGTTACTGTATGTCACTTCGTAAAAAGTACCAACATAATGAATGGGGCTACTAGAAAAAAAGACAAAAAGAACAACAACAACAACAAAACAACCCTAAAAATAAAAGATCTCCGGGAAAGATACACGTTTTCCTTTTATCATTATTATTTTAATTAAAATTATTATTATTATCATTATTAATACGAAGATTTCAAACCACTGTTGAAACTTGATAAATAACTATATATTTCACAAAGTGTATCAACCTCCAATGTTTCGTTTATCAAGGAGTTTGCTGTTTAATATCTATTTCTTTTCTTACACAATCTTCAAATCATAACAGGGAAATGAAAATAATAATAAACATTTTAAAATTAGAATATCATTTCCTAATATCAAGAAAACGTGATTTAGAAATACATTTTTTCCAGTAATTAACGCGATCGGTAATTTCATCCACTCTTTCACGCGATAACGTAGGAATATCCCCTCAATCATTTATGTCTGATCATTTTCCGCATATATGTAAGAAAACCAAAGTATAAGTTCTATGAATTGTGTTATAAATAGCGGAGTTTTTTTTTTCAGTTTTTGTTGTAAACGAAGATTATGCGGAGTAATTTTACATTTTCTTTGCTTATCTTTCAAGAGCTCTAACATACGATTTTTCGGCGATTTTTATTTATTTATAATTTTCCATTTCATTTATTTCAATAAATTAGACTGGAAGAAAGATATTATAAACATCAATCACTTCACAGGCAAATATCACCTAAAAAATTATAAAGATTTTCGTAAATTCTGTTGATAATTTAAAGCATGACTGAAGCCATGCCGTAAACAATTTACGCGCTGATCGAATAACTACAACCACCGATACGATAGGATCCTCGACTGTAAGTCATGTTGTATACATGTGCTTTTTATATTTACAAAAAAAACTAGTTAATTATTCTTTAAATTTCTCTTTCATTTAATGTATCCAAGATTTGAATTTCATAACTTTTATCACAGATGGACTTAGTCTAGATATTAATTACGACTGCAAGACAGACCGATTTTATAATCTGATCAACTTACGATACGTTGCGCTAGAACAAAGCAAGCGTCATTCATTTCTGTACGTCTTTCACCGCGTGAAATAATTATTTCCCTGCTCTGGACAAAATTTGACCGCTGTAGACAAAAGGATCTGCATGACTTTCTGTCATTAAACTATTGACTACTTCAATTCTAGTTGTACAGGAAGGAAAGGGGGAAAAAGGGCACTTTGATGGCGCTTGTTTTTCATTTGTTTTTTCTATTCAATATGATTACAACATCTCTTGAATTAAATCACAACTGGGTAAACGAATACTAGGTACTTTGGACCATGCTTTAATTTTCTTTTACAAAATTTTTAATATTTAAATATTTCTGTCGGGAAAGGTACGTATATTAAAGGTCGGGATAAAAAAAGAGAGCGCGTAGTTAACTTAAGTCGTTCTATTATAGTTAGGCACATTCATAGAATCTGCCTGTTATTTATTTGTTTCTTTAAAGATATTTTTATTTTGATAATACTGATCATTTATGTGGACTGTTATTGTAAATGTTTTGATGTCAATTAATTCTTGTGCTAGGGATCTTCCGGGTTTTCGCAGTAAAAACTATGTGATTTTTTCAGCGACAAGCGTACGAGAATATAATTTTGAAGGATATATTCATCACAAGTGGTTTCTAAATCTAAATGAATTCAAAATATTTACTAACACCTTTAAAAATAGCGCTTTTGTATGTGTTTACCGCGTGCAGCCTCCTCGGGTGTACTAATATGTTTAAATGAAAATAAAACGTTTTCATTGGTTATCACGTTCGCTGTTTACATTTCAGCGACAGGTACCATTTTAAAGTTTTTTAGGTAATTTAAGTTATTTTTTGTCATTTTATGATTCTTTTAAAGACAATGTATGGTTTATAACAACAATTTGAACAAATATACATGCCAGTGTGAAAATTTTCATGTTGCAGTGAAAAAATTGAAATTTTGCTCGGCTCGATTTCCGACACAGTTTTGATCGTAACTGGTTGAGACGTAAAGACAGACATCTATGAAATATCAGATTATAAAATCGGTCTGTCTTGCCGTCGAAAAATTGAGACTAGACCTTTACCAGTCTCTTTCAACAGGTGATGCTCAAGGTTGGCCAATTTTGACTCCAGGGCAATGAATTAATAAACTTTTGTAGAGGTTTTAATTTTAGATTATCACAAACCTGATAAAATGGATTGAATTATAACAATTCATTTGCATGTCAAAAAGGAATAAAAGTCATGCTGCCGACCGATGTTTGTTGTCGTTGGAGTTCCGGTTTACTTCCTGGTTTACTAGCTTAACTAAATTCCGTATCGCACCGTACCATTATATATTGAATTTTAGCGGTACGTTACGATACCGAAAAGTACCGAAATCAACGTTTCATTACCGAAATCAACTTATAGAACCACAATCACAGGCGCTTGTCACATAATCAAATATTTTACATAATCGGTCTATATATGTATATAAAGATACATATATAGACCGATTATGTAAAATATTTGATTATGTGACAAGCGCCTGTGACCACAATAAACCTTTTTATTATATTTTTGTTAATATTTAACATCATTAAAATAAAATATTTTCAATAGATTTTTTAACTGAAAGTCTATAATTTTCACTATTTTTCATCAAATAATGAAGAAATAATAGCAATATTTTAACCAGTTTTTTTACGAGTTGATTTCGGTAATGAAAAGTTGATTTCGGTAACTTTACCGAAATCAAGTGGATTTCGGTATTGTAACGTACCCGAATTCGACCAGGAAGACCCTGTTAAGACATCCCGGACCTGATTTTTTGGGGAGCAGTATTAGAATCTGTCTGCTGCAAAATCCATGTTTTACCTTGGACAAAAGATAAAGTCTAGAATATAAAGGACAGATTCTAAAGTCTAGCATTTTTTTTGTTACTGTCTGGACCACTTACTTATTTGTTTAATTAATGCGACACACTGTTATACTAATAATAATTGACAGTTCACTTCATGATTTTTGATGTTCATAACTATAAATTTATTCATATAATGTAAATGAGAGACTTTAGAACCGTGTCATGTGTGTTGGTGCACTGAAGATAAGTAAACAACTATTTAAAGTTTGAAACACATCCTTAAGTCAATAAAGGTACAGTAAAAGGTGAGACAATTTAAGGGAACAGAGTATGTAAGATGTGGATAAGGCTGGGGAACAACTATTTGAAGTAAATCCATTAAGATATTTTTTTAGCCATGCAAGGTCACAGTGACACATATTGACCTTATACATCGATGCCCAAGAACAATGGCAGTCTTTCACTCAATAAGAGTGATCCTCCTATAAGGTTTGAAGGCTGTGGCTCACTAGTTATTGATCAGAAACTTTTTTTACATGTTTAAGGGCACTGAGACCTTTGACTTCACACATCACCAATCAAAACAAGGGCAACATTATCGCAAAATACGCCCGTCAGCAGTTTTTTTTACAGAGATGTGGGCATTATAGGAATGCATACAAGAGAGAAACATTTGTGCTAAGTTTTATTGAAATCCCTTTTTGCATGTAGAAGTTTTGTTCCGTTCTTCATATTCAAGGTCATGTGACCTTGACTTTCAAGCTTCCAAACCAACAAACTATAGGCATCATCTGCTTAGTGAGGGTAATTATCCTATAAAGTTTAAAAAGCTGCAGGTCAAATGGTTCTCTAGTTATTAAGCATTAATTAACGATTTTTCACATTTAAGGTCACTGTGACCTTGACTTTCATGCGTTGGCCCAAAAACAAAGGAGGTCTTCTTCTCCATGACAGTGATCATTCTATGAAGTTGGAAGGCTGTTGGTCAAATGGTTCTCTAGTTTGGGCAGAAAAGTTCTTCACATTCAAGTTTCAAATGCTGTGGATCAAATGGTTCTCTAGTAATTGAGCAGAAATGGTTAACACATTCAAGGTCACTGTGACCTTCAAACATCAGTGCCCAAAAACAAGAGGGGTATTATTCTAGATGAAAGTGAAAATCCTAAGAAGTTTGAAGGCTGTGAGTCAAATGGTTCTTTAGTAAATGAGCAGACATAATTTTCACATTCAAGGTCACTGTGACCTTGACCTTCATGTATCAGCACACACACAATAAAAAGAAAAGAAAAACAAAACAACAACAGTAGCGGTATGTCTTCTACTTAATGAGGATGATAAACCTATGAAGTTTAAAGGCAGTGGGTCTAGTGGTTCCGACTGAAATCAAAGTGGTCTACCGACCAACAATGCAAAACTATATACACCTTTATCTACGAACGGGGGCAAAATAAAAAAAAATATATTTACAAAAAGGGGTTGTGTCATACTTTTAATAAAGCAAACAGTGTTATGAACCTAACAGGCGTTTTCGCTTCTGAAAATGAAGACATATTGAATTAGGCAGAAAAAGTAAAAATATTTCTCAACTTCAATGACGATTCTTCACAAAATTTGTCTTGGACACTAAGTAAAGGCTCAGGAGTGAGTTTGGTTTGCGTGCGACCAGACAAAATGATGTAAATGTAACTTAGTAACGTTTAAGAAGTTCATCATGTATTTACACTTTACGATACACTCTCACAAATTGTTAAAACCATTAAGGGTGTCCTGTTGCAAAGTTGCTCCTTGAAGTTTTTTCCAAAGGGTGATACTACACAAACAAGCAATTATCATAGTATTGCAAGCAATCCATAAGTCCCCTACCGGTTAGAACCCCATCAACATTCTGAAGGGCCATTGGACATTCACTAATGTTTCAATTTTTCTCTATTTTAAGTAAATTTGTTGGAAAAGTTCTTTAAAAGTGATCACAGGAAACAGTTTTTAAGCACAGACAGACAGACGGACTGAAGGACACTCTAAAGTTAATATTTGAAACACCCCTGTTATCAAAATATAACATTTTAAAAGCAAAATTCTTAAAGAGGAGATAACCCTTGAATTAAAGATGCAATTTCATAAAAATTTTCAGCTCTTTTTGACTAATCACAAATATTGTTATATTTGCCATGTTTTAAGCCTATTTGTTGCCAAGGCAACTGATATTTTTTCAAAATAGGAAGAACAGATAAGACTGCTATCTACCCATATGTCAAGTTTCATAAAAATATTTCCAGTACTTTTTGAGTTATCACTGGATCCAGTTTATGTGTAAAATTTGCCATATTTTCAGCCTATTTGTTGCCATAGCAACCAGAATGTTCAACATAGGAAGAAAAGAAAAAGACGTGCATAATCTCCATACTGCCATCTACCCATATGTCAAGTTTCATAAAAATATTTCTAGTATTTTTTGCGTTATCACTGGATCCAGTTTATGTGTAAAATTTGCCATTTTTTTCAGCCCATTTGTTGCCATAGCAACCAGAATGTTTAACATAGGAAGAAAAGAAAAAGACGTGCATAATCTCCATACTGCCATCTACCCATATGTCAAGTTTCATAAAAATATTTCCAGTACTTTTTGCGTTATCACTGGATCCAGTTTATGTGTAAAATTTGCCATATTTTCAGCCTGTTTGTTGCCATAGCTACCAGAATTTTCAACGTAGGAAGAAAAGAAAAAGACGTGCATAATCTCCATACTGCCATCTATGCATATACCAAGTTTCATAAAAATATTTTCAGTACTTTTCAAGTTATCGCGGGATCCAGTTTTGTGGACGGACGGACAGATGGACAGACGGACGGACGGAGGGTAAACCTAAAGTCCCCTCCGGTAAACCGGTAGGGGACTAAAAACCAGTAAACAGAAATCCAGGCCAACATGACAGCATTTTTGTACATTTGGCATCATAATTCTAGATGAGCTAAAAAATTTGGTTTGAAAAATACAGTTTGATAATGTAAATTGATGAAGTAATTGGACATTATTTGCATAAAAGGAACAAATAAACAACATGAACATACTCCTGACAAGTAGTATAACACAAATCATATAGGCTTTACATTTTATTCAGCAGCAATATCAATAAACAGCAGAATTTCTTCTCACTGAAATAAGTGTCTATGTACAATATGAAAATTGAAATTTGTAGAATACTATAGTTAGATTTGTTGTACAAGATTTAAAAACAGTAATACAGAATTATAAAATAACAAGAGGGTCATGATGGCCTAACATCGCTCACCTGAGTATAATGCCTCAAATAACAGAGGTATTAATGACTATGAACAGGCATTATGTAGAAATCTAGGTAAAATCAAAGTTCAAATTTGTATCATTCTGGAACTGTACATGCAGTTGGTTGCTGGATCAAATTCTAGGTCAACTGATATATCAGATCTTCACTTGAATCTGTGGCAGTAGTTCAACTTCCAATGTTGTAGCTCTCAATATAAAAAGGTCACTGTGTCAAAGTCTAGGTCAAATTTCAATTCTGCATCTGTGCATATAGTCCAAATTACATAGCTTTAGCTCTGTTAACTAAAAGTAGGTCACTAGGTCAAAATTAAAATCTAGGTCAAAGTTCAGTTCTGTATCTGAAGCTTGCTAAAAATGTGCAAATTGTCCAAATTTCATAGCTGTAGCTTAAAAAAAGGTCCCAAGGTTTAAGCTTTCAAGAAGTGTATACTGTATAAGGAAAAGCCATGACCACCTGGGGCAGGGCTGATTTTGACACCATGGCTATAATTTGAATGATTTTTATAGAGTTTCATTAAATGATGCTCGACACAAAATACTATGTGTTTAAGCTCTTGGCATTGCACTTTCAATGAAACCCTTTAAATAATTTTAGTAGAGCTTCATGCTAGGAGCATCCCAGGAAAATTTCATCAAATTTAACCCAGTGATTTCAGGGTAGAAGTGGTTTAAAAGAAAGTTGACGATGGACAATCTGCCGAAATGGCATAAGGGGCCATACCTTTTGTTATCTTCTTTTGTTTAGTAGATTATTCTATTGTTAAGGAATGAACTCTATTGTTCTCTTTTGTTCCCCTTACAGTGTACAACTGTAGATGTCCCCCTATCCCTATTTGGTCCTGCGCACTGATAGAAGACAGACAAATTGTGATCAAAATAGCTCACCTTGAGCACTTGATGCTCAGCTGAGCTAAAAACAAACAAAAGCAAACAAAATATAAGCTTTTATAACTCGATTTTTTCACTTTTGTTCATGTCTGAATATTTTCATTTGATATGCAGGAAGAAAAATCAAATTTTTGACTCAATCTTTACCAGACCTGGCACACTCTTTAAAAAACGATCCAAAGTACATGTGTACTCATCTTTATGTTGAAGCAGATGCGCACTGTGCTTGGATATTTCCCAACATTTACTTGTCACACTGAAGCTGAAACTCTTTTCCCAGTCATTAACCATAGCTTCAACATCACTGAATTTCGACATGGGGTCATTTTTGCAGTAAAAGACTAGTGTTGGTACTTGCAAAGGTTTTCGTTTAAACAGTTCTATATAGTGTTCATATACCTGCACAGTGTATTTATTGGTCACTTTAAAATACAGTGACATGGACAGAGGAATTATTCTTTGAATCACATTATTTCGAGACAATCCCCTGCCGACTCCCTCTGCCATATTTTTTAGCGTGCCGATAGTAAGGCTGTCATACACAACTGCATGAATTCTTTTCTGTATACATGAATACTGCTTCGGAGCTCTGTACATTTCACTCATACATAGTGTAAAATTGTATGCTCCCATAGAAAAAGCATGTATCACAATGCTTTCATATTTTGGACAGTTTGTTACCACAAAATCCAGCAAATCTTTGGCAAGTCCTAATGAATTATTAGGCCATACAAAATGTTTAAGGTAGCTATGAATAAATATAACATCATATCCATATGAGTGATATAAGTCGCAATACTTCATAACAGCACTATTTGGAGCACCGTAGAATCCAAAAATTATTACTAATGTTGTTGAATATTGATTGCCATTGGCCCTTCGAATTTCAAAATTCTGCAAAACATCTGCTGATTCTTTAGAGGAGGCATTGTTAGCTGATGCATTTGCCATCTTCAAACATAGGTTCTGACTGGAACAGATTGTCTGAGGTGTATGTACAAGCACTCCATTATGACCGGTTGCCTTTTTGGTTGAACTGTTCACCACAGTGTGAAACGCAGACCTTCCCATTTCTGATAACGACCTCTGGACAGATTCAAGGCTCATATATGAGTTTTCTACCAAGACACCATTATGTCTGTGGTCACATTGTGAACAAAGCCTAAAAAAATAAAATTAAAACAAGAGCTGTCAGTAGAACACCATACTATAGTACTTGGTAGTGAAACAACTGCCTGGATAATGTAGGAATCAACAAAAATGAAGATTTTTTAAAAAAAACTACATGATATTGTAATGATATACTCGATATTGACCCTTTGGAACAACTATAATTTTACTGTTGATAAATTTATAAAAATATTTCGTAAAATATATAGCTTTATATGTAATTTTATGATTGCTGCTTTCAATTGCCATATTGCACCCTTCAAAATTCATGTATGATATACATCATACATAACATGTAAAAGTTATATAGACAGTAGACAACAACAAGCACAAATCTAATACCTTTTGATTTGGTTAATAGTGTCTAAAGATGTCATAACTCCTATACTTTTCTTCTGTACTGCAAGCATCACTGTATTTAAAACACAGTCTAGCCGCCCAGATATTCAGTAACACTTGTCCTGCAAATAAACATGCTCTTTATAGACAATTCATATATTATTTTAAACAGTTGATTCCAATACAATATATATATTGGTCAATGGATGTTGAACAAGAGCCACTGCCAAGTGGGGGCACACAGCAGCAGACTTCCCGAAATACGTCGGTCCGACGGACATGTCCGATAAATTTTGATCAGGTCCGACAATTTTTTATTTCGGATCGGTCCGACTGTCCGGCTTGTATCCAAGCCGCATGTATACGGATTTAGCTCAATACAGGATTGGAGCAGTACCTCTGGACGCTTGCAGAAATCATGATCACAAAATAGACAAATATCGTTTTTTTCGCCGATTTTTATATTTTTCCTTCATTATCGTACTTAATTCGGTGTGAAAAGATGAATTAGACCTGTTTAAGTTCATTCCGTTGGGTAAAAAGGCGAGATTTTAGCATTTTATCATTCAAGCGCCTTGTCCGGTATATACCGGAATACGGTATTTAGTGTGGTGCTCCAATCCTTTTTTTAGTCACAGCCCATGTATACAAAATGGCGTCGCTAAAGGTGCCAAACCTGGGAAAAAACGAAAATCTACGCAGAACAGCAATAAAAGGATGAAAAGAATAGACCCGAGACAAAATTTAATGAAAAATAGAAGCAGAACCATGAATCATTGGTGTATGACAGGGAGGAGATGAAAATGCGCTGTACGGATTGTGCCGATTTTTACGGCAAAAAGTAAAAAACAAAAAGTGTCTTAGAAATACAAACACAAGTTTTTCATTGATTTTGATCAATTTTATTTGGTCCGACAGATTTGGTTTCGGTCTGACAGATTTTCATGGTTTGTCAGACCGAATGTCTGACAGTTTTTTTCAACTTTCGGGAAGTCTGCAGCAGTCTCTGGACTTTTCTTAATTACACATCAGAGGAAGTACATGTATATTATAGTAAAGAGTACTCCTACAAAACATAATTGTTTTGTAACAAATAAAATCCAGATTTCATATTTGACCTTGACTATCAAAGTCCATTAAAGGTCAAGGTAACATTTGAATTACTCATCATGTAGGTTTTGTTACATGTGCTCTTTAGTCCAAGTATATTTAATCAAATCTGTGAGTAAATAACAAAGTTTTGGCAATTAAAGCAAATTTCAATATTTTGACATTGACAGTCAATGTCACAGAAAGGTCAAGGTCATATAAGAATATTTCAACATGTTTGTTTTGTCATATGTGTTCTTTTGTACAAGTATATAAATCAAATCCATATATAAATAGTTATTGCCAATTGAAGCAAAATCACTTGACCATAGGTGTCAAGGTCAAATTGAGGTCAAGTTCAATTAAATTTTCTGCAAAAGTATAATAACAAAACATTCATTACTTACAAAGTTAAAGCCAATTATAGCAATTGCAACAATAACAAAAAAAAAAAAGATTCTTGTGTCCTTGGAAGCTCAAGTATGAAGACAATTAAAGCTGTATAAAGTATAGCCAATTACAGTAAAATCAAGCAAAATTCAAAAATTTGACCTTGAAGGTCAAAGTCATTTATGAGTCAAGGTTGAGTTCTGTCTGGTCTACTAAGACTTCTTAAAGGTCTTGTCTAAAGGGTTGTGCCCTTGCAAGTATGAAGGTCTATATATTAGTATATTATGTATCGTATAAGTACCTAATCTCACACCCAACCTATTCTCAAACCTTTCATTCATGTGCTGTTATTTTTTTTACTAGAAGTGACTATGATGTTCTGAACTTGTGTGCATAAAAGCTTAGTTTCTGACAGACATGTCTGCTGATGTCAAATGAAAACAGTGCATAGGTACAAATATTTACATAACATATTTTATTACTTAGCGTAATGTCATACAAATTGCTATTACTCAGAGTCCCAGGTACTCAGTAAAGTTAGGGAAAATCGCTAACACTGATTACCTTTGTAAGTCCCATAAATACACCATTAACTATTTGTGAAAATGAATATTATAGACAAAATATCTTAAAGCAGGTAACTGCATCGTGTAGGGTACTTCATTGCCATGTGATAGTCATATAACAATCACTTCATTGGCTAAACTAAACAGTAGAATTTTAGAGATACTTGAAGGGGTTTGAGATTAGGTTCTTTATTGTGTTTTTGCTATTCTTCCCTGCTTATGTTAATATTATCATTTAGTTTCTAGATAGGATGTTGCTTTATTTTGTGATCTTTTGTTTTGATTTTGCTTTTTGTTTTGTTGTTTTGTTTTTTGGCTTGCAGCCACGGCTGCAAGCCATTTCATTTGGAAAACCTGTTCCGGTTAGGTGGTTTTCTGCTTACATTTATAAGTGCATGATTGAACGGGAAACCAGCTGAAATCGTGCCAATCGCAACTTTTCGGCCTTTTCCGTCACTCTTCGGATTAATGATAATAGCCGATGTACTTCCGATTGCAATCGTGACAATTCGGGCGATTCTGTCATACTGCGGAATCAGACGAAGTAATATTACGGAAATCTAAGCTATTTTAGTTACTTCGGTAATCCCAGTTTGTTTATATAAATAGGATTCGTATTTTTACTTGATTTATTGATTTAAACCGTAATAAATTATAAACGAAATTGTTCCGTTTCAATTCTTTTTCAAGACGCAAAAGTTAGTTTCTTTTATAATTGTTTTTTGTCTGTATTTGTTTTACACAATAGAGGATGTTGACTGTAGTAGTATTCCGTCTTCAAAGGGTGGTCCAAAGCACACAGTGCATGATCGAGTTATATTTAGATCTACTGAACTTGGTGAGGTAATCTAAAAATAGCCCATGCATATCATTAACCTTACCACGTGATGATTTATAGATAGCGCATCGTATCTGGGAACATGCTTATTAATTAAATGAAATGTGCACACTTGTTTCCTTTCAGTATGATAGATCTTCACGTTAGTATTTTTACGATTGATTATTTTCTTTATTAGTTTTATACAATAGAGAATAGATTTCAAATCGTTTTGACAAAAATACTGGTCGGAGAGATAACTCCGACGCATAGATAACCCCGACACTTGATAAATATAATTGTTTTAGCTTTGTTTTTCAACAAACAAGCACATGATCACCTAATATTATAGGAACAGGACAGAATGTGATGATTTGTTATAATTTGGTAGAATTTTTAATGTTTTTCAAATAACCTAAACTTTTTGTAGGCAAAAACTGCTTCAAAACGTTCTTTTTACTAAATTACAGTAAGGTAGTTAGAAATGTATTGACCACAGGCCACTGACTTGGGAAAGATTTTTGAAAAATTGTTAAAATATTTACAAAAATAGATAAACCATATAAGATGTAAAAATAAATTATTGATGCTGATTTTCCAGTCATTTTTTACTTAAAAATTTAAGTGTCGACTTTATCTACTGTTGTGGGGTAAAAAGACCATGTTTTGTATACCTCATTCAAGACCTTAAAGAAGTACCAGATTCCATTTTCATACATAGTTTTTGTGGTGTAATGTAAAGTCTTTGAACTGAACTTTGTTTAGGTGGTTCAATATTTAAAATATACTGGAAGATAATTAAAATATTGCAAAAAATATGTGATTTAGTGTCGGAGTTATCTCTCCAACCAGTATTCGTTTTTACAAAAATAAAAACAAATAAATATGTTGGGATGAAGGCACAACTGTGCAAGCCTTTCCTTTTAAAAGGAAACTTTATTTTGCTTATCTTTTCCAGCAAGACTCAAGCTAGCTGTTAAATGAATTCAACTAATGACTTACATGTTTAATACCTTCTGTCTTTGTGTAGTCTGATAATCCATAGTCTTTCATATTTAAATTATATATAAAAATGTTGTTTATTTTTGTTTTTTTTAGTATTTTTATTTATTTATTTATTTAAATAATTCATTAAATTTTTAATTGATTACTCGGTATATTATTGAACTTTAAGTAAATTTTTAGATACTAGACTTTGCTAGTGATGTAGATTTGGGTAAACTATCATTTTTAGTTTTTGAGCATATGATTCATTTTTATAAATATATCCTAAAAGGTCTATTTTATGCATGTGATGTATATATATCATGTCTAATCATTTTTTATTGTAGCTGTTTTATCTTTGTTGATCTTATACTTTATGTTATTTACAGTCGGTTATAAAAGCTCCTAGAGCTTATGTTGTAATGTTGAAAACTTGCCGACTTGAAATAAAACTAATCTTATCTTATCTTAGAGGCCATGTTAGTTTTAAAACAGAGGGTTGTGCTTTTCCAAGATGGAAATAGTGCTTTTTTAATGGTTGAATTTCAGTCAAATTTTACATAAAGATTAAAGTGTACATATGTAAAGAATTTTTATAAAGATATATTTATTTACATTAAAAGACCTCTTGAATGCTTAGAGGTTTGAGAACTGGTTAGTCCACGACACAGGCGCTAGTCACATAATCAAATATTTTACATAATCGGTCTATATATGTATATAAAGATTATATACATATATAGACCGATTATGTAAAATATTTGATAATGTGACTAGCGCCTGTGGTCCACGATACAGTATCGATATATCGAGAGGAAAAGAGTCAACTCGGCCCTATACCAACTCGGCACGGGTCAACTCGGCACGGGTCAACTCGGCCCACTTTACAAAAATATATAGGCCTATATAACGTATTTACTTTGCTTTGCATGTTGTTAAGGTAAATGAATAATAAGAAATATCTTATTATTATTAAATAATTATACATTGTACCTCTGCTGAAATAAAGTATATTTAGAAAAAAAAGTTATTTATTTGTCTTGCAGATTCGATAAAATTAATATAGACACAGGCATGATTATCGAACCTGGGAAGAAAAAAATATGAACAGATTGATAAAAATACTTCATATTTTTTCTTCCCAGGTCCGATACTTGTGCCTGTGAATAAATATATAATAAAAATATGTTTCCCTAGATGCATTTCGTTTGTAAAGTACTTTTCAAAAAAATATGAAACAAAAACGTGTTTACTTAATAGCATAAGCTTCTAATCAAATTTGAATGAATGAGTCTATCATAATTATCACCTAATTAATCGGTATCTTTAACATACACATTGATTAATAATAATAGCTCGTGACAATAGGAGTCCTTTGATAACCTTTACCCATTTTTAAAAGTGGGCCGAGTTGACCCGTGCCGAGTTGGAATAGGGCCGAGCTGACTCGGGGGCCGAGTATGTTTTAGGGCCGAGCTGACCCGGATTCTATCGAGAGATTTAAAAAAATGGAATGTTGATGAATTGAATGAGTTTATTTATTTACTTTACTTTTATAGAGTAATTTTAATAGGTTGGCATGTTATTATTAAGTGAAATCTTAACATAATTATGCATAACTAGTTAAAGAAAATCATGTTTACATTCTAACTGCTTCTTCTGTTCAGTAGCCATTACTGTATCATGTGATTTTGTCATGTGACTTTCTTCGGATGTGTAAATGATTGTAACCGGTACCCGTGTGACAGAACTCGGGAACGAGACGACAGTGAACTCGGGAACGAGACGACAGTGATGCGTTATAACAAATTTATAACCGCTTTGAAATTGTTTCTCTTATAGGTCTATCTAAATATCTTGTCATTGAGCTTAATATATTGTATGTATATCTGTGTATGAGTGTACGGCCTATTAGAATATACAGTAATTATGAATTTAACATTATCTGCTGCTTCAAAATTCGGCATAATATATACAGTATAATGAGAGATCCTTTTAATTAAAACAAGAAGTTTTACCCAGCCGTAATAAACCGTGTTGTTTTTTGTAAATTTTGGGTTATTCCTGAGTCGGAATAGTAGCAGTTACCTTGAAATAAGACTAATTCGACGTAAGCCCGAACACATGTTCAAACTCGCATACATGTTTTGTAGTGCGTGTCTATTTTAACATTTCATGTGTATAATATATATTCAAGTAACTACATTTATTTAACAATTTTGTATGAATTTTTATTTCTTCATCTTTTCAATAATTTGTTTAATGTTCCGAACGTTTGCAACCACGGTCTTTCATATAGAATATTTTAATTTTTCTATTATTAAATAAAATATCTAAAGGACCCTATAACAACTTAAAATCACAGACACTTGGGGTGTGGAGCTCAAAACGCCTTTAAAATCCAAATAAAATGTATATTAGTAACTTATATTTGTCAATCCTAGCACGTACACCAGATACATAGAAAAACTATCTATGTTATCTATGTCTCTGCGTACACTTATTATATATATTCAAAAAACTTAAAATAAGCCGTTTTGAAAAAAAATCATATTTCAACGTCTATAATATTATAGATTTTCACTAGTTTGTGTGTGAATTTCAATAAAGAAAGTAAAGTTGATATCCACATCTCAGAGGTGCTTTATCCCAGAGGGGTCATGACACGTAGCCCCATCTCCTCCTCTGGCATGTCTGACTTACAGATTTAATTGTTAAATTGCATGATTTAGTTTATTTGAATGTATTCCTAAGCAGGTATAATTCCACACGTGAACCCGAATTTATGACCACATGATACGCGTGATATATACATGAAACTGCCCACGTGATATATACATGAAACGCTTGCACACGTGATATATACATGAAACGCTTGCAAGCACGCTTGCACGGGGTTGCAGCACTCTTAAAGGCGCTTACAAGTGAGGGAAAATGGTTCAAATTACCGATTTAAATCTACTTTTATCCATTTGATCCCTGTATATTCACTGGAAATCTATTAAAAATCAGAATGAATTTGACAAAAAATTAATATACCGTAAAATATGACCGACTTCTAATTTAAAAAGAAAAAAAAATACTTCAAGCATACCTGTTTTAAGAAATATACATGTTCGTATATTTCTCTGGCAACGAGAGAGAGGCACGCAAAATCAATGCTAAAGGGTTATAACTGAACTCAAATATCACAATTCGTTTATGTACAAGTACAATATTTATGTGTATTAAATAACAATGATATTCTTTGAGACAATATTTTTTACTCTTTCAATGATCGACCATAAGATTATGAGAACATCATTTATTACATGCTTTTCGGTGGTTTATAGAAATTTATTTCATGCTTTCCAGTGTTTTATTGTAATATATCAGATGATTATATTCTGATAAACCACTAGTGAAATTTATAAAATATAATTTTCACTGTAGCCGACTATATCTGAATGCTGATGAAAAGAAAATTAAACTAAATGGAATAACAGGCAGAAATAAATGCCGTCATACGTAAATTTTGCTTCCTTAGGAAAAGAAAGTCGATGTCACCATACATCATGTTAAAAATGTAACAAAATTAGAGAAATTTAACAGAACTATATTTCAAAATTGATGATGTGACGTCATGATGTGATGACGTCACAAAGGAGAATGCGCGACGTTACGCGGCAAAATCAGTAAAAAATACTTAAAATCACTTAAAAAGCATGAAATAAAAATAAAATTTATTTGTTTTACATATAAGATTGAAATATATTTCATTCGTGAACACCAGCTATTATATTTTCACTCGTGGCTACGCCACTCGTGAAAATATTGCATCTAGTGTTCACTCAGTGAAATTACATTTCAATTTTACATGCAAAACAAACAAATATCCTCTATATATCATCGATATAAAACTGGTAATTTCACTGTTTGAAACAGTGAAATTACCACTTTGATAATTTCATTGTTTTGAATTTAAGCCCCTTACGTTGTTTCAGTGAAATACCAGCGTGCACAGAACTGGGTACCAACTTAATGACGTGACGTCGTAAATGACGTCACGTTGTATTATTATTTGGCGCGCTTATCATTCAGTATTAGGTTAAATGTCTTTTTAAAACGTTTCTTTGCATATAATAAAAAGAAAATTTGTTAAGTTTAGTGTAAGATCGAAATATATTTCACCTTGTGTACACCAAAAGTTCATATTTCTTAATATACCTTTTGGTGCTCACACGGTGCTCACTCGGTGAAATATATTCCGATCTTACACTGAACTAAACAAATATCCTCTATATATTTACTGTAAACAAATTATATACATGTAACCTACGGACACCGCCCGGTAGGCACAATATTAGTTGAGTGTTTGCTGCGAATCAGGTGACACAGGTTCGATTCCCGGACGGTGAAGGTCACTTTCGTTATGATTGATCATAAAATCCTTTCTACAGTCATTCGTACTGTACCTGTGCTCAGACATGTACAGAAGTAATATCAGTTCCTTGTAAAAGTGAAGGCACTAGTACTGATATTAAAAAAACTCCTTCACAATCTGCCCAGAAACGATGTGGTGGCTAAACTGTGCTCTGGCGAATTTAAAGTGGCCTACGATCGTGATCTAGATGGTAAACGTAAAAATAAAATCATATCACCCTCAAACACATTTCGAAATATTTATGTTTTATTTCATAAATTAAATCTAACAGAAATAAACTCGTTTAAGATACATATGTATTCTATTTCAGAAATAAATTATCATGAAAACTATCTTGGAAATAACTATAAATAGAAATATCGAAATTACAAATTCACACATATTCAACACTTTGTGTAAACTACATGTATACAGTCTATTGGAACATCATTACACAGAAGACAAATTTGAGTCAGCAGTTACTGCACCATATAGTGACATGCTTTAACCATTTAATGAAAAGGAAAATCAGAATTTTTTAATGTTAAATCGTTTATTGTATCCTCTCGGGATAAATGCTAGAATAAAATATAGATTCACATCGCACATGTTAACTAGAACCTTGGACATAACATAATTTGTCCCAACAACAAGATAATGTTAATAATCAGTCCATTTCGCTGGAATGCATGGCCTCCTATTTGTGTCAAAATTAAATATCATGATATCACGCATCTCTGAAGTTTTTTGGGCTGTCATCTAATAATTAAAACATGTAGACCTAAATAAAACAGAAACTGGATAAACATGTTGAGTTGAAAAAGAAGTCATTTTCAAAAAAGAAGTCTTTTTCAAAAAAACTTAGAATTACAATGCATAAGAAGAAAATCACACCAAGTTGTTTTATGTTGACTGTATCATTTTCTATAGTGGTCATAAAACTAATACCACATTTTTGTCTTTGCTTGAAGCTAATTTATAGTTAGGACTCTCCGTTTCGGGTAAGAGAGTGCCGGAAAATTGTATGTTCGCGTCTCTAACCTCGTGTCAGGAAAATAGCCTTTACTCTGATGGAAAAGTTCCTCTGTCATAGTTTTGAGGGAGAAAGTGTCCTCATTTTGTTTCTTTTCAGCTTGAGCCAATGCCGCCTTTTTCTTTTTTAAGTTCAGCAGATTGCCGCAAAGTTTTCTCTGAGCTAGGTTTATTCTACTAATACTCTGGCTGCACACGGCCCTGTAGCCCTCCACTTTCTGCCGGAGGGCGAATTCCTCGCGTATATTAGCGTTCTTTGAAGCCCTAACAACGCTTGGTTTTTGGTTATCAACTACATCGACCACAAGCCCTTTAATAACTGGTGTCTGAAAAAAAATACACCTTAAAACGAATATTTTTGTAACAAAATCTCACAAGACTTTTAAAATACTGTAATTACAAAATGTGTTATTTGAAAATAAACAAACATAAAGAACAACAAAAACCGCATGGTTGATGATTGGACATCTCAACCTCATTTCAAACTTTTCTGGTGTATGATTTCCGGTGAATGTGCAGTCGCTATGGATATTCATGTTGGGTCTAAACTGTGGATCGTTTCTTAAATGTATTGAGGAGGCATCAAAGAAAGAAATACTTTTGCGTTCCTAAAGCTAAGACTTTTTTTCGAACATCTCCCAAAGATTTCATAATTGTCATATTAAAACATTATTTTACCTGCACTTCTTCTGTCCCTGTTAGGTACTTCAGACACACCTTCTTTGGTCTTTGTCTGTTACATCTCTTTGCAGAAAAGCCAGATCTACCGGACTGATAGACCGCTGATAAATGGTAAAAAGTTAAAACTGATCAATTCTTATTTTACTTCAAGCTCCGTTTCCGAATGGAAAAATCAAATGATTCTTATTCGGTGAGGTACTCATTAAGATATAAAGGACTTAACGGATATTGTATAAACACATACAACCACGAAATTGCTGAATTTGGGTCCTAACGACAATGTATGATTTACGTAACATTCCATTAATTCTAGATCTTTGATTAACATAAAAAAGCAGCAGTGCCACATATTTGAAATAAATGAATAATTTAAATGGAAATGTAAATGAATAAATAAATAAATAAATAAATACAAAATAGATAAAATACAATATTTACTCACAATAAGACTTTGGCGATGACAAGCCCGACGTTGCCGTCCGTATTGCTTGATTCTCAAATATGATGTCATCAAAGTCCTTCGTCACTATTGATGACGATTTTCTACTGCGAATGTTTCTGTCGTCTGCTACCGTTGTTCGAGGATTAACTAGCCAATGTAGAAAGTAATGTATTCATCATTCATGTAATTGTTTAGACCTTCCATTATGGACTAATCCACACTAATAAAGTCTACACTGCTTTTAGGAAATGAAAGAGAATTTGGGAAAAGATTGCGAATTTGGCACATGTGTACGACCATTTGAATGACTTGTACTTTTTGTACAGTGTGGCCATACCACGTGACTATGACGTCATTTTCGGCATCATTTCCAAGACAAATGTTGCTCGATTCGGAATTGAAAATAGCCGTAAATATTTTATTTCTGTACCAATTTCTTTGGGATATGCACCAGTCTACGGGGAAAAATATAAGCTTTCCACAGAATATTGGATCTTCGTCAGTTTATAAGCCGTTTTATCAAACACTTTGCATAACCTTGGAAGTTGCTTGTATTAGAGCGGGCTTCAGTTGCAAGCTCTTTCGTTTTCTGGCGTTATCTGGTCTACGCCATGATTAAAAGCCAGATTTAAATCAACCGCGAGTACGGAAGGCAAAACTCTACCTAAATATGTTCATATTTTTATTATGATTGACATAAATCTTACATTTTCCTTCAATTGTCAATTCTGGCACCTGTTCCAAGTCGAAAAAAGGACTACAGTTTAAAGCAGATTTTAGAACCCGTTGCAAATGCAAAGCAACATGCCTACCGTTCTCTTTCTATTATCATGTTAACCATGAAAAACATTTTATTTACTATTATACGATTTACATAAACACAAATGAATATTTAAATGATTTTTACTCGCTGCGCTATAAGTGATTTTAAAAGTCGTAAAAAGCATTTGTAAAGAATATAATCATTCTCTCTTTCACGGTAATGATTATGAAAAATCTATTTTAGTGTCATGAAGCAATACTTAACGTGGAATATTCAAAATAGAGAGAAAACAGAAACTCTAAATATCGCCAAAAACGGCCAAATTGAAAATGTTGCAGGCTCGGTTTGACTTAGCTAGCCTGTCCAATGAACGTGCACATTTAGGATCACTTCCATTTGTATACTGTGAAAAGGGAACTTTACGCCTCAACGCGGCAATTTTAAAGTCAAATGTTATTCTTTTGAAAAGAGTTATTTATACGTATAACCATATATACTCGTATATACTTGGTAAAGAACCTGTAGCAATGTTTTAGTATGATATATTCAGCTTTTTAACACAGTGGCACTCGTTGATAAAAATATTTTTACATCCTGTTTTCATACCCACGGTAACCGTTTTTCGTGAACTGGATATAACTTCGTTCACTTAGGAACACTAAACACTATTTATTTTATTATTGCATTTATTTCTGTTAATAAACTGCATATCTGACAAATTTAGTTAATTATATCAGTCAACCCAGCTTTATCAGAGAGCTCACTAATACACATTGTAATAAAGAGAGGAAGGGAACGGAATATTTATGGTTTGAAAACATTTAAATCGAGTAGAATGTTTTAACAATAATGTCTCTTTCAACTAAATAAAAACGATAGGGCTATTTGGGACTATTTCTTATCGATGTGGTCATTGGCTGTAAATGCATGGATTATTGCACGCGGCATGACATGCAGATGTCCTCAACAGGATTTTTGTAGCATTTTAAGATTTAAAAAGGACCACATATTAAAATCTAAAACATGATAAACATAATACATTTGCCAAATAAGTGAATTATCTGATATGTAAATAAAGAAGTAAGTCATTTGACAGTTGAAGTATAAAAATTGAATATACTCTTCAAAAGTAATCGTAATTTTACTTAGTTTATGTTAGCTATCAATTATTCAATGGACGCATCAGTGTCATATGAACCCCAGTTATAGATCTTGCCGGTGTTGCTATTACAGATCTTAATGTAAATATTCATATAATTATTGATAATCATTGTTAATTTATTTCCGTCTTTTTGAATGTTTTGTTTTGTAAAATCATTTATCTGTTTACTATTTTTTACTTTGTTTACTCCACATGGTCTCCATTCTCTCGCTCTTTATTGATGATGAAAGTGCTTATAGTTTAATTAGCATAAAATGTCAACGTCATGTTAATGCGCGTGGCAATTAGATTCTTGATTTTGATACTGATTAATGTGCATAGTACTTCAAATTGTGATTTCGTTTATCAAACTCTATAGAAATTTATAATACGGCAATTCCAAATATATACCTTTTAAAAGTCTCTCTTTTGACGACAGAAGAACCTATTCGTCACATTCACGTGTGTCAGTGTTTGTCAGTTACTCTTTACATAAAATAGAATGAAAAAAATTACCTTATAACTTTACAACACTCGCGTTAAAGTGTAACAATTTCCGTAGCATACAAAAGTTTTGTTTTGTTTTTTATTTTAACTCTTTCTCTCACTAAGAGCACATATATTTCTTATCAATTTCGCCATTGTGAAATAGAATAAAACACATTTTAACTACATAGGATAAGATGAGCAATACTTCAAACATCTTCAAAACGAAACCAAAAATATTATTTTTCGACAGGACTAAATCTACGTGTTGTGCACTATTGCGATACATGTAAGTGTAATTGCTTTAAGAAACATTAGTTTTTTTCCACAATCTCTATATGTGAAAGATCAACAATAAAAAACTAAATTGTAGAAAGAGTACGGTAGGCATGATGCTTTGCATTTACAACAGATTCTAAAATCAGCTTTAAACTGTAGTCCTTTTTTTCGACTTGGAACAGGTGCCAGAATTGACAATTGAAGAAAAATGTAAGATTTATGTCATTCATAATAAAAATATTAACATATTTAGGTAGAGTTTTGCCTTCCGTACTCCCGGTTGATGTAAACCTGACTTTTTGATCATGGCGTAGACCAGATAACGCCAGAAAACGAAAGAGCTTGCAACTGAAGCCCGCTCAAATACAAGCAACTTCCAAGGTTATGCAAAGTGTTTGATAAAACGGCTTATAAACTGATGACGATCCAATATTCTGTGGAAAGCTTATATTTTTCCCCGTAGATTGGTGCATATCCCAAAGAAATTGGCACAGAAATAAAATATTTACGGCTATTTTCAATTCCGAATCGAGCAACATTTGTCTTGGAAATGATGCCGAAAATGACGTCATAGTCACGTGGTATGGCCACACTGTGTAGTATTACAATTAAAATTTATCAGTTTAGACTCTTATATCTGTTTAGAAATGTTCCAAAGATAAGTTTGGAAAAAAGAATATGTAAACACTTTGTAAAGGAAGTAATAGGTCATGTGACATTATTCAGGTTGGATCTTAATTTCAATAAATTATCTAGTAAGTGTTTAGCCGAAAAATCTCCATACGCTATAATTCGATATAAATTAAAGCAGCATGCCTTCAGATTAATGCTAATTTTCACGATTTTTTTTGCAAAATGTATTTAAAAGTAAAATATTGTGAAGTGAACAATGAAAGTAATTAACACATTGTAAACGGCACTTACAATCAACGTAAATTTCCAAAAAGAGGTCAAAATATACATAAATGCCTCTTACTGCGTTAGTAACGCAATATAATTATAGTGATTGATACGGCAAAATCAGTCATTAATCGCACATAACATGTAAATAATTAATTAAATATTGAATCTTTTCACTTTTCTTAAGATCTTAATATCTTAATACATTTTCTAAAGATTGAATTTCTTGAAATATTTTGACTCATCTTGGAGGCGTGCAGCTTTAAGCATCATTAGAATGTATTTCATAAAACAAGAAAATCTATAGACATTTACTGACAACGACCAACTATTGATACTTTATCGTAATTTAAATACTGGAACTGAAGTAAAAAGCCTTTTAATAACCACTTGACCCTTATCACTTAGGGTCCGAATCCCATCTGCGACATAGTATTCTTTCAAGTGAGGAAGCTATCTAGCTAGCTTACGGAATCTACTCAGGTCTGAAATAATTCCCGGAATGGCACCTGAGGTCCCCTTCCATAAGTTAAGCTGAAAAGTCGCCATATGACCTATACTGTGATGGTGCAACGTTTAACCCGGCAACAACAACAAAGCAAAACAATAACAAGGAAACATCCCCCATAACACACCGAAACAAAAAACAAAAATCATAATTATAAATTATTAAACTGAAATTCTAGAGATGATTGCTCTTCTTCAAGATTCAAGATTCAAGATTTATTCAAAACCAAGGCATATAATATGCATAAGGTTATGATATATCAACAATATAATGAACAGTTATTCAAAAGTAATTAACAAAACATGTAAACATAAAATTATATAATAAGGAAATCAATTTGACTAACATATAATATATGACTAGACTCTACTTTTTGGACATGATTTGTCTTATACCGAAGTTATCTAAATTGTTTCTATGTAAATTTTTATACATTCATAAAGTTGAAAAATTAATGACTTACGGGAGAATGAGTTATTTAAATTTTGAAATAATAATTTTGCAGAATAATGCAAGTTTTAATAAAATTGGTCAAAGCTATTCATTAAAGATTCTAATTTATAAATATTAGGATGATTTGAGAATTTCAAATCAATAAACTTTTTACGAAGAGAGTTAAAAAAGTGACATTCAAATAAGTAATGGAATTCATCCCCAAGAGATTGTTTTGGACATAAATGACATATTCTTTGATTTCTTTCAATATGTAAATGTCTACCTTTCTCTATAGGTAAAAGATGGTTCATAGTTCTGAATTTACAAAGTATTCTACAAAGATTGAAAGGTAATATATCTAAGTATTTCTCAAAACAAAAATCTTTCTTATACACACGATCAAAGATATCTTTGTCAAGCTGTAAGATCCCGCTTCCATGAAAATTACTTCACATATCTGTAGGCTTAATTCCCGCTTTAATAGGTATTTTTTCATGTAGGAAAACTACCTATTTATAACTGTTGACTCCATTTAATAACCCATTGTAAATTAATATAAGCTTCAATAAATGAATAAAATTAGCCTTTATTAATGTAAGACGATGTTTTTGTTGTTGTTTTTTTAAACTAAAAATGTATTTTACCTGTTTCTTCACGATGTTCAGAGTCGTCAACTTGAGTTATATATTTATAACTTCTAGACTTTCTGTCAGAGGCACTTTTCTTCTCCTTCCTTACATTAGTCGATGACTCTTTGAGAAATTGTGTCATACTCCTTTTCAAAACAGCATGATCCTCTTCAGCTGTTCTAATAATGACGTCATAAAATTTTACATGCTTTTCGACATCCTCGTGTATGTTGTCTGTGTTTTCATTTTGACTTTCCACATCGAACTTCACGCGCCTTGCATTTCCTGATGCGTCTCGTCTTTGTTTCGATTCCGAGTCTACAAAAGAACATTTATTTCCGTGCAATGAAAGTGGCCGTGTCGAACAAGCGTTTAAACTGCTATTGTTGCACGGGATTTCATTAAGTTGATCATCAACGTCAGACTCTTGTGCTACTTTGATTGTTATATTCGATACCTTTTCCGGTTTCATTTCAATATTCAAACGTTCCTGTTCTGCGGATATCTTATTATCCCTCTGATCCGGCATGTTACGTAACCACTGTGCAACTGCGAAATTTTTAACATTTCGAGTTTTCGTTTTCTCTGGTAGTATATTCATCATTTTGCTTATCACAGTTCAACTTTGAACACTTGATATTAACACTTCTTTCCTTCCGACAAAAAGATTATTTCATGACTTCAATACGAATTTGGAATTTCCAAATTTTGGTTCCATCACAAGCATACGGTTGTAAAAGTCTACTATTTTAAAGATAAGTACCCCAAAACGGTAAAATTATTGTAGTTTGTCTATGTTTATCACGACTAAGCAGACACATTTCATACAGTGTGTAAGTGTTTATAACAAAAGTGGATATTGGAAGTATGAAATGTATACAATGGAGGTAATATCAACAAAAAAGAAAAAATGATAAAAGGAATATTAATATATTTTTTCTTTATTTTCAACACATCCGAGTTTTATTGGTAATATTTGAGTGACTTCGGTCATTTCTTTTAATGTCCTTTACCTGAAAAACCTATTGTTTCTCTCAAAATATCGGTTAATTACCTCCTTTTTTTTGCTCACGCACCCTAGTTTCATTCCTGGAGCATAATATGTACCTTTATATGTTGCGCATTAAATATACATCTACATGGTCTACAGTTTCTAGTATTCGCTTCGCACTGTACCACTGCTCTTCTATGTACTGAAGTAAGTGAGGTAAACTGCTTGGCAGCTTGCCCCGGAACGATGTGGTGGCTAAACTGTGCTCTGGTAAATTCAATGTGGCTTTTTGGCGTGATCCGGAGTGAAAACTACTAATACCACCACCACTACATATACATGTATACTAGTTATAAGTCTTATAGGTCTAACACGAGAGTCATTGATGGTGGGTCAATAGCGATTACCGATGTAGAGATGTGAACTAAACGATTCCGTATTTTGTACGTTCAGTTATAGTCTGTACAAAGGAATAAATGTAGACTAACATTGTTGAAAATATTAACTTTATGAAAAAATATATCCTCCAAAGTGATTTTATCGCTAATAAAATCTTTGGAGTTCGGATGTGAGGAATTATATCACGAGTGCGTTGCTTTAGTGATATAATGCTGCGCATCCGAGCGACAAAAAGTGATTTTGTAAAAAAATAAAATCATTGCTGGAGATTCTAACATGAAATAAATGAATTAATGATGCGTACATGATTATCAGGCTAGATAGTGCCTAATTTGTTTCCGTGCTAATTTTCAGCGACATTCACATGTCTAAATATATAAATCGTGACCTGAGATTTTATTGCATATTTACACACACTTAAGGAAAATATGGGTCCTGTATGACATCCTCTATAACTTACGTGACGCGGATTTCAAGTGACCAGAAACATATTCTGAAATACCTGATCTTGTTAAGAGCCGCCTGGTTAGCTCTAAACTAGCTCAGTAAGTAGAGCGTTGGACTGTGAATCAGTTCCTCGCGAAAGTGAAGACAACTGGTACTGGTAAACTGCTTGAGAATCTGCCCAAGAAAGACGCGATGGCTGAATTGTGTTCTGGTACAAACCCAATGTGGCTTACTGCCGTGTTACGGAGTGAAAACTACCAGCACCACCACGTGTAAAGTTACGTCATAATCGGAGTTTAGCATGAAAGCCGGACTTTTTTGCATATCAGACAGGATTATCTACTGTGGTAAACCACCTGCATTTTTTTTCTTTTTTTTTTTTTTTTTCTTTTTTTTTTTTTTCGATTTCCGGTGTTGGGAAAGATGGCGGTTTTTTGTTTACCGGAGAAAAATCAATGATAAAAAGTTAGTTTTAGAGTAAGTTTTACGTTCTATACATTAAGCATTATGATTCAACGGAAGAAACCAAAAGTGATAGAAAGTATTAAAGTTTAAAATTAAATTGATAAAAAACACACAAAAAAAACAACGAAAAACAACAACAAAAAACTTATGTCTTTGACGGTCGGATCACAGTGGATTTTTGTACTGATATGGGGAAGTACATTTGTAACTGGTGCGTGGCTTCGCCAATTTCGACCATCAAATATTGGCGAGGTCTTCCAGTTGATTTTACTGACCAACAAGCATGCATGTAGTTTTATAAGGGTAAATAGTTGCATTCAGTATTCCTGCAAATTTTGAAGTACTTATATAATTAGTCACGGACTGTTTCCTCGCAATAAAACTTTCCTCTGATTCAAATTCAAAAATAAGAAAAAAGCGTTGAATTATGTTGCAAAATTATTTTCATTCGATTTAGTTTTCATGTTGAATTATACGAGTAGATATATGTTGCTTTGAAAAGATGCTTGTTTATAACATCCAGAAAGATCACGCTTTAGATTTCATTTCTTCTGATTATATATGTTTACTTACTGGATAACACCTGTGCAATTATGCGCGCTTAGCCACAGAGTACACTTATTATTTACGTAAACATAAAAATACCACGTGGTTTACCGCATTAGCACTTTCAGTGCTTTGATTTCAGTTGTTGTTTATAAGCGAAGACCTAAACGAAGTACGTAGGCCCACTTTTCATCCCGTTGGTGTTGGAAAATTGATTCGGAAATCCTTCATAGGGGAAAGACCTCAGCAGAGCAACCATCCTTCACTGTTTACTGAATATTAATGAGATTCACATGCGTATGGTTTATTGATCTTGGAATTCTAAAGTGTTGATATTACAAAAAGTTGAATGGACACGTTGGCCAAGTGCTAAGTGGTGCTAATAACTAAAACGTGCCCATGTGCTTATTGTTTTTCAGGAGAACGGTTTGACTTCCTGTAAAATATACAGGAAGAACTGAAAATAAGTAAGATTTTCATTAGTCATTTCAAATTTACAAACTGAAATCAGGGAATCTTATTGGCCATTCTAAAATTAGTAGATTAATTAAAGGATCTTTCTGAAACTCATTGACGCCAAAATCCCTAAATAATCTAAGGGAGTTTCGGAAATAAACTTTCTAGTATTAAGCTCATTCAACAAAATAACTTAATTACTGAGTCATAAATGACATTTTTTAAAGTTTTGTCCAAAATAACGAGACAACCAGTAACCAATAACCCAAACACATGTGCATAATTAAAAATACCAAAAGGCACCAATTAAAAAACCCGATTTATTTCTAATACACTTTGTAGTTTATGTGTTCATGATAATATAATGATTATAAATGTGTTCAATTTATATGAATTTCATTTTTTCCATATATCTTTGCACACTGATGAAGCATATACGTTAGTGTGTAAGGTACATTTACCGAAAAACGACAGTTGGTGGACAGTTTCATTCAGAAACGCCACCATAATAATTATTATAATGATCTCTAACTCCATAGTTTACCATTTTTAGAAAAACGCATTCAAACATTTAAGATCGATTTCTGTAGTTGTCCTTGGTCGATTAAAAAAAAATTAGGTACAGAATATTCAGGATGATATGTACAGTAAGTATATTGAAAGCATGTTTGATCCTTCGATTACTGATTTAGATCTATTTACAATTTAAATTTGGACATAGCTCAATTTTGTTAAATGTTGCTCACTATTTATAGTACGGTAACTAGATTATACTACATTATACTGGAAATATCATAGTCTGAAACAAAGATAGCAGGATAAACCTCAATCTGGAATTAAGAAAACATATTTTACTGTATGGATTGCCACAACTCTAAAACAAACCTGAGTCTAATGCTAACAACCTCTTGAATAACTATGGAGATAGCACAAACTGTGATTGAGAAACTTTTTAACGGGGACTCAAATCGCTTCATAAAAGGACATGAGGAGATAGCTCTCTCTGAGACGAATACAACCGTATGAAAAACTCAAAATGTTCTAAATGGTGGTTAGCTCACTATAGGACTAAGGCGACGATATCATTTTCTAGATCTATCTTTTAAATGCTATGTTAATTGTATCAAGTCAAAAGTTTGTTGCTGTTTTTTTTTTATTTTTTTATTTTGTTTTTCCCAAAAGAATTTTAAAAAGAATGAAGGTTACTTGCAATCTTTCGGATTTGAAGCGTCTCTTGGTATTTCCGTGGGTATCCGGTATACAAGGATTTAGGATGTAGGCAAAACGTTATTTAATTATTATTTGAGTTTGTGTGATTTCATTTTATGAAACAACGATATTTATTGATCATTTATGATTAAATTTAAAACGGCATTCATTATCTGAAAACGATATATGTGAGGGTAAAAATGAATGAAAGCGAACAATTCGAGAACGAATCAAATGATTGTTGTTGTAAATTTTTGTTTTTTGTTTTTGTGATGACGTCTTAAAAGTACGAAAGTCGATTCATTTCCGATACGTAAATATACAAAAAAATATGTTTTGGTAAAATAATCTTTATTAACAAATATATATACATTTTTCCTCAGTTAAGATCGTTATATCATTTATATGAAAATATATAACAATAACACATAACGATAGAGAAACATGCATCAATGACTCATAAAACCTTTGGCCAAAGAGTCAATGACTCGTGAGATTCAGAACCTACGTACAGAACTGATAATATAAACAACATTCTGGGATATTTTTTTGTTATGGGCCAGAATCTCGCTTCTACGTCGTTGTTGAACCAGAGAGCCCTGCATGACAGTGTAGTCATGAATCCATGAATCCAAGCAGCTAGGTCGGCTACCAGAACTCTCCAGAGCTGTAAGCCATGTAATGGATTCCAGCCCACTGCGTAGTCCCTGGAAATGAGCAAGCAGACAGCTTAGCCAAATTAGGTGCCAAAAGAGACCAACCACAGAACACCGTAAGGCATGAGGAGAAAGTTACGCTGATAAAGGCACTGATGAAGCCAAAGACAGCACAAGATGATTACCATCTGCTTACCCGAGCTGAACAGGTAGCGCTTGTCAGGCTACGCACTGGCCACAACAGGCTGAACGCACACATGCATGATAAGCTAAAGCTGTCCAAATCACCTCTATGCTCCTGTGCCTTGGAAAATCAAACGGCAGAACATTTATTACAAAGATGCCCACATTTAGAGCAGTTGCGAAGGAAAGTGTGGCCAGCAAGCACCCCACTGGAGGAGAAACTCTACGGGAACCTTGAGGCCCTCCGGAAGACTGCACATTTCATCGCTGTGGCTGGGGTGACGTTGTAGAAGGGCGAACGACAAGAAGAAAGAAGAAGAAGAAGAGCCCTGCATAACTTTCAATAGGCGACTTCAAGAACTTGACGGAGATTGCCGAGTTGTTACGATTGCATAACCGTTTGAACTGAAGGCACGCTATGCCTCAGAAACGAGTTTTTATTTCTTTAGAATGGTCAAAAATGAATTTGTTGAATGTTTAGATAATGATTTTAGAGCAAGTTATAATTGATTTTTACCTGAACAAGTAGCGAAAAATGTAAAATAATGTGTCAGCACCATTTTTTTTTTGTCTGCTGCTTTTTGGCAGATTGTACAGTTATAGTGATATAGTATTTTGTATGAAAGTCAAAATACTATTTTCTTTACATTTTGCAACTTTAATGACACATTATTTTTGCCATTTTTGAAAGACATTATATTACTATTATTTTGCATGTCAATTACCTGACGTTTTCAAACATTATTTTAAATCACGCTGCATTTTGTAATATTTTAATGTAAAGTTCTAATGTGATTTAAGGTTTTACCTTAATATACACCATCGTGAATAACAAGAATTGCAAAATTATTTAAAAAATCAAACAACCAAAACACTGGAACTTTTTTAGCCAATTATTGATATAATGTCAGAAGAAAGTTAATATTTAATGTATATCATCATAATTTGTCACGAGACCGTATTAAACTGTTTCTTTAATATATAGATCACAGTTTATAACACAGCGTTCATCAATTCTTATACAAATACGGTCAAAATTATTGGCATTTTAGCAGTGCTTTGCACGTTTGTTCTAATATTCAAATTAAGACGGGCAATTTCCCATAGATTTCAGTCCAGCTTGAAGGAACTTGTTCGGAAACGAAAATACTAGATACCCCCGATATAAACTTGATTACCTAAATGTACCGTTCATTTATAAATGCGCCCCGTATCTCTGACGGATTATTAAATAAAGTTTAAAACGAACACGGTACGGCACGGAGTTCAGAGTGGAATACGAGTTTCAAGTTGTTACAAAGGCAGTATGTATGTAAACTTGTTATTATTATTTATTATTACTATTATTATTATTATTATTTATTATTATTATTATTATAATATCTATTATTATTATTATATCTATTATTGTTTATTATTGTTATTATTATAATAATAATTATCATAAATTTTATTATTGATAATAATAATACAATAATAATAATAATAGTAATAATAATAATAATTATTATTATTAGTGTTGTTGTTGTTGTAGTTATTTTCATAATAATTAACATCAATATTTTTATTATTATTATTATTATTATTATTATTATTATTATCATTATATTACCATTTACCATTAATGGCATATTTTGTAAATGGTTAAGAATTTGATGATGATGATGATGATGATGATGATGATGATGATGATGATGATGATGATGATGATGATGAATCAGATTACTCTATTTATAATAAATTAGATTTAAAATGCACACAAGCCAATAAGGATAGTATAGTATATATTTTATAAAGAAATAAATGATATATTTGGATAAATTATTTTTGTTATCATTATTATCATTTAGCGTTAATTTCTTATTAACAAATCAGCAATACTGGAAAAGAAATCTAAACTTTTCCAACTGAATTCACTACAAGATATTTATCTATTAATTTTGTTTTGTACGTTTAATTAAATATGAAACATTTTGTTATTGTATATGAAGAATATATGAAGAATTATCGTTGATCTTCCCTCGTGTTTTTTATATAATATAACCTTTTACTATTTTTTTTATACTAGAAATATGGATTTTTGGAGCAAAATGTGCTTAAAAACATAGAAAAATAACTATAATATCACAGGTTCTTATATATACAGTCACCACTGTCTTTCTGAGCAGACCTGATTTGGAAGATGGTGACTACAGATTTTATTGTAAATATTCAGAGAGGAAAATAAAATACGGGTCGTTCTTGTTAGGCTCCATCACGATGGACTCTATTCGAAGGTTTTATTGTACATCACTTGCAGTACAGTATAAACGGAGCACGAACAACAATAATAATAATAATAATAATAATGATTGGTTATTCACATTATTTCAAAGTTTTCCCTATCTGTTTCTATGTTATAAGTAAATGTAAATAAATTTTATACATCACTTATTATATACGCATCAAAAGCTATGAAACAACGTTGAAAATTCTCGTACTTGCACTGTACTACGTGTGATCTAGGATTTAAATAACGTATACATTGACAGCGTTAACGTAACGTGTCTCTCGTATATGTATACCTCCAACGTCGTGGTTACATAATTAAATTTAAATTTCATTAAATATGGATTACGCATTTATACAAATTTGTAAGGAGTTAATGAATTATGATTGATTTAATTATGGTATTTTGTGAAAGCTTTTATGTTTTATAATGTATTCGAACGTTGCACTATACACTTATGACATTTCATTACATTTGCATTTTGATTTATGTGAAGGTTAAACGTTTCAGATCGATTTAGAAAGCATGTGAAAAAATACAAAGTTTCTCTGATATATTTAACAATAATATTTCGTAACAAACTCGCCTTTTGGAAAATAATACAAAAGTCGTTTTCACATTATTATTGTATATGCCTTATGCTTGTACCTGTAACAATTAACGATTCATTTCTTCACAACTTATTAAAACTTATGTACAGCGAAATTGTTTAAAATAAATTTCTAATGCGTTGAGGGATGTTAGGGCTTGCTTGCAACATGTTACATTTTAAACTTTTACAACATATATAAAGCCACAGTCCATTTGTTAAAGGATTTGACTGTGACTCTGGTTATCCCTTCTCTGGCATTCTGTTCCAAAAATGTGAAACTATAACAGGACATCAAAAATAAATTAAATTGAGCCGCGCCATGACAAAACCAACATAATGCGTTTGCGACCAGCATGGCTCCAGACCAGCCTGCGCATCCGCGCAGTCTGATCAGGATCCATGCTGTTCGCTATCAGTTTCTCTACTTGTAATAGAGTTGGTAAGCGAACAGCATGGATCCTGATCAGACTATGTTGGTTTTGTCGTGACACGGCTCAAATGTATTTGACTCATAAACATGAAAGCATTATTGAGCCACAATGGGCCTTCATTTTAACTCATCTGTATAAAAGTGTTCAAAAAATATAAAATGTCGAAATGAAAATAAAAAAAGCCTTAAGTTATTTGAATTGAATTAAAAAGACAATGCCTTAGAACTATTACAAACCGACGTACGATAATGATAATGATGATGGTGATGATAATGATGATGGTGATGATGATGATGATGATGATGAGTTATGAGTACGCTCCTGTTATTGTTTTTTTTTCTGCTGAAGTTATGAGTAAGCTCCTGTTATTGTTTTTTTTCTGCATTAGCTCCAGTCCTTTCTGATTTAAAAAAAAAGACTATGTTTTTATCGCATGCTGACAATCTATACAGTAATTTGTCTCGGAAAACAACATGATTATATATAACACGTTGTTATATATCATTTATTCGTATACTTAAAACTATAATCTTATTTCTTTTTACAGAAGATGTACCAAGAAAATCTTACTTTGCCGGCGTTAACTTCAGTAATTGAATGTGATTTGGGTGCTAGTGAAGCTTCATCAAACTCAGAACTTACACAAGAAATTAAATCATCATCAATCCAAGAGATCTGTAAAGATGGACATGCGTCCAAACCAAAGAAAAGAAAAATAGATACAACAAAAAACATTAACATTTCAAACAGTGATTCAAATATAGAGAGTGATTCGAAATCGCCTGGTTTGTCCTATATTGCACTCATTTCAATGGCTATTCAATCGTCTGGAGCAAAGAAAATGCTTTTGTCCGAGATATACCATTGGATTGCGGAACACTTCCCTTATTATCAAATGAAAGACAAGAGCTGGCGTAATAGCATTAGACATAATTTAAGTTTAAACGAGTGCTTCGTGAAAAGTGGCAGAAGTGAAAACGGAAAGGGGAACTACTGGTCCATACATCCAGCTAATATAGATGACTTCTCAAAAGGCGATTACCGGCGGCGGCGGGCCCGTCGGCAAGTGAGGAAATGTGATGAAGATTTACAACGGTTGTGCTCTAACAGCCCCGAGGTTGCTAAACCACCAACCCCGTCGGCTGAAAACTGTTGCCATGATGGATATGTACCTATGATTTCAACGATAGTTCCGTCTAATTTCCTTTCTACAATGGGCGTTGAGCAGGTGAAATCATTTGATTTTTGGTACCCAAATACTTGTACCCAGTCTGAAGACTGCAAGAAACAAGGGCAGCGCTTGTCCAGCTCAGAATACAAAGACTCAGCTAAAACAGAAATGACGTATCCCGGTACAAGTTTACCGTATTACGGGCGTTGTTTCAGTCGTGATAACTGTAGCATGACGTCGCCACCTGCAGAGTCAACGGTGAACGTGAATGTTAACGTAAATGTGTGTGGTAATACGGAAACTAATCGACCGGAGTGTTATCCCTATGTAGAACGTCATTTCAATGCTTTGCCACCTCAAACATACGGACAATACTGGCAAGAATCGTACGAACAGCCTCCATATTTCGGTCAATAACAAGAAAAAAAATCCAGTTTAAAGATGCATCCACTCGATCCCTCCAGATGAACCAAAATATGTCCAGAAAATAAAACTTGGGAAAAAAAGTACTGAGATTTTAAGAAAAGTAAATAGATCAAGATATAAGTAATAATTTCTATGTTATGTGCGATTTATGATCGATTTTGCAGTATTTTTCATCATATTTCTATTGTGTTACTAACGTTACAGACTTTCCAAAACCGATTTTACCTTTATGCCGAATTCATGTTAAGCAGTCTTTATTTATAACTATTAAAAAAAATGTAAATCAATAATATATTTGTGACACGATATTTATTTGTTTTTATAATATGTACAATAAAATACTGGAATACGTTTCACGTTCTTTTTTCTCTTTTTTTCTTTCTTTAAATAACCTTACCTTATCAATATTTGTGCTTGTATAAAAAGAAAAATTCAAAGACAAAGAAAACAATAATGTAAACAAAATAAGCAATAGGGATTGTCAATAAAAGAAGAAGAGCTAAATTCCTTTCCCTTTATTAGGAATTAAGTCTGAGGCATCTAACACCCACCCCCACCTACATGCTGGAACTCATTTAGTCGCCTCTTACTATCACGCAGGCATAAACGGTGGCTGCAATTCTGATGCCTCGACCCTTAAAGGCAACCCCTCAGCCACAAGGGGAAATGATAATTGTAACATGTACTTTAATTCTGGTATATTTTTATTTCTGTTTATTGTAAGGTATTTATTTAGATGACTGTTTTTGACTTATCTAAGAAGCAGTTTAAGGTAAAACTAATCTTTATCAATGTAAATGTTTGTTTTTTACGGTGGCTGTTACGTTGTTACTGTTTTTCAATTACAAATATTACAAATAAAAAATTAAAATTACAAATATTTTATTTTATTTTACCATATTTTTTTCATTTCATGTGTCTTTAGTTTTTAAAGTTTATATATAATTCTTTTAGGCTCAATAAATATTTTTAATTTGTAAAAAGAAAGTTTAATACATTAATACTGTGCAATAATGAGACATAAATAAAAATAAAATGCTATTGTTAACTTATTTCAAGAAGCAATTCTAAAAAGAAACGGTGATAGTGAGGAACCCCGCACGCGTTGATTTGTGATCGTAAAATATTTTGCTAGGAACAACAAACGTGATCAGTTACTGAAAAACAACAGAACGATTTTTAGATATTATTCCAAAAAATAAAGTTCGAATGTTTTGGAATTTTCAGCATTTGGTGTACATAATATCTTATAAGCAGAAAGACAATCAAATAATTCCATGATAAACACCAATGTCCATATTATTTAAATACTGTATTTTATGTTGTTGTAGATGTGGCATTTTCCGATTAAAGGCCCACTATGCCCAAGACATTTTTTATTTTTAGTTCTCATAAGCTTTTTATATTTTGGTTTTGTTGCCTTTTGGTAATGAGTATAGTTATAGTGATTTCGTATTTTATATGGAAGTCAAAATACTAATTTGTTTACATTTTGTTTCAAATAATTTTTACATTCAGTGCTATTTTCTTCATTTGATAAGTATCTAACATGCTCTAAAACCATAGTTTAAACGTTATAAAACTCGTGTTTGTTTATAAAACAGGAAAAATGTTTCATTATTGAAGTATTATGTGCCAAAACAAAATTGTTCTATCATGAGAAAGGTATAGAGTTGAGTATACAAAATCATAATACTTGGTTCAAACTACTATCGGAGAGACTTTATTATTAAGTTTGAGTAGCAAGGGATCTGACCAGTGACCCCAGGGACCTTAGTCTCTTTCTATTTCGGTTTATTTATACTCGGCGCCGGAAATTCCATATGTCCGGGAATTTAGCATCCTTGCCGGTCCACTAAGGTAGTCTCATCGGGGACGTCTTTGTCAAGCTGAATCTTCCTGTAGCCCATTCTTCGTTCGTTGGTGGTAGAGGAGTACGACAATACTGGCCAGGCATCATGTTCCATACTGACGATAACAAAAACGGCTCTCATTAGCGCCAACCCTCCAGAGTTAGTCACGACAGGTCAACCAATCACCTCTGGTACTTAAGATGACTTGACCTTGACCTGCCGTGTGCCTTCTCCGCGACGTGCACGCCTCTGGAGGGATTTGGAGAAGAGGGACCTTAGTCAGACAATGTAACTACTTATTCACTTGTCCAGTATTGTTGCGAGAACTTTCAAGAATCAACAGGAAGTAGGAATGGCCACGAGTGCGTCAGATATATGGAAGACGTCAATGTTGTTTTGGGTTTTACGTCGCATGTCAATGTTGTAAATTAGTGCGATGTCCGCTGAACTCCCATTTTATGTAATTCTAAATACATGTTTTATTCGTTTCATAACCTCGTTTAACTTTTTTTACCATCGAGGCCCATAAGCGGGAACCCGATTTATTTTGTTCATACACATACGCGCGCGCACACACATAGGTAAAGATATTCCTCTATGGTAATTCAGATAGTAATTTATTTCAATATTGTGAGTTCATTTAAGTTTCAGAAGACAAGAGTCTCGTATGGGGTCCCCATCTGTTACAGTAAATTAACCATAATTATTGAAGAGTATTCGATTTACTTTTCAATGTTATAATAAGAAATTAAGATAAAGTCGCCAAATCACTAAATTAAATAGCGTAAAAAAATCTCGAAGGAAAAATTCCAGTTCATCATGCCAAAACCCTTCCCTGTGAAGGAAAGATTAATTATTAATTAACCTATGCCAATTGTTGTCAGTTATACTTACGGACCTTACCTTTTACATGTACGTGTATTTACAAAAGTTACATGAAACTCTTATTTACTAACAATGTCACATGATTCAAGGGCGCGAAGAAAAATTAACAGTTTTTACTTCACAAATCTATAAAGCTATCATACGAACCGGGATATATTATCATCACTTCATCTGAGCTTTAAAATTATCACGTTAGCGCAGGGTCTGTATATACATGTAAATTAACAAATCGTGTCGGATTCTTTATTTAAAGTTCGTTAGTCCCATCAAATATTCTCGCTTCCGAGGCTTGAACGTCGCGGAGAAGGCACAAGTCAAGGTCAAGTCGTCTCAAGTACCAGAGACGATTGGTTGACATCAGAGCTGCATCAGTACTAAGGGTGTAGTACTTAAGTACCAGTACCAGTACTTGGCAAATTATGCAGTACCATTACCAGTACCAGTACTAGATTTTAGCTCGGTACTGCAGTACCAGTACTTTTTTTGGTGAAGTAATTAAGTATCAGTACCATTACTTTTATATATTCATCAAAGTTTGAATAAATACAGTGTCAAACAAATAATTGCAAATATTATTCAGCAAAGAAATAAAATCATAATTTACTTTAAAGTTAACATAACATATTTACAACTTAATAGTTTTAACATACTTTTTACAAACAATATTTTCAACATATATTCATGTCATATCTAATTGTTTAATAACCAGTCAGCTGTATAAATACAATTAAAACACAACAGTCTTTTGTTGCCTTTCACACCTTCACACCTCTGTTCAATTTATACCAAAGTAAATAACAACTTTTTATGGTGCTAACAATATCACTTTTTTCACTTGAAATGGGATTATTTAATTATAATTTAAATATCGATGGCTATTATACTGAACACTTATATGGTAACAAATCTATAAATTCTAGAAAAGGGAGACACTCTGGTGGGATTTCTGTTTATCATAAATGTAGTTTGAAATACAAAATTAGTATTACTAGCAAAAATCAAAGTGGTATATGCTGGTTAAAAATTTGTAAATCTATTATTACTTGTGATACAGACGTTTATCTTTGCAAACTTGCGAAATAACTAGTCATCTTTAATGCAGATACATATATTATATTATTGTGCTCTTCTGTAAACCATGTCTTTGTATAAAAAATTGTATTGCTTTGGAACATGTTGTTTTAATGCAATAAAATATTTGTAGTTGTAGTTGTAATTTAGAATAGAAGAAATTAATAAGTGTTTATTTTGCTCTTTTACTAGTAATCTTAATTTAATTTTTACTTAAAGTCTTTGGTGCTTTTTATGATGTATACTCTGTTAACATTTGAATGAATATTGCAGCAAATTATCTTTAGATTTGATAACTTACTTTTTCACAAAAATAACATGTAGTTAATGTAATTTACAGCTTTATTTTATGAGAAAAATTGATGCTATTTTTAATTTCTATCAAAACCAAAAGTACTGGGTAATGCAGTAGCAGTACCACTTTTTAAGACAGTAATGCAGTACCAGTACCAGTACTAGCAAAATTTTGTAAGAGTAATTCAGTATCAGTACCAGTACTTGCAAAATCGCTGCAGTACGTACTGCAGTACCAGTACCAGTACCAGTAATGCAGCTCTGGTTGACATGCCATGACCAACTCGGGAGGGTGGCGCTAAAAAGAGCCGTTTTATGTTTGCTGCATGTTTGCTGCCGTCACGGTACATGGTGCCTTGCCAGTATTGTCCTCCCTCCAACGAACCAAGAACAAGTTAAGGAAGATCGGCATGAAAAAGACGTCCACGATGTGATATCTACAGTGGACCAGCATGGACGCTGAGATCTCGGACGTATGGAATTTCCGGCGCCGAGCTCAAATAAGACTAAAATCATCACCCATCAAATATTTAGTGCAACATACGATTTTGTTGTCAGCTTGCCATTTAATCATGATAGAAATTTGCTCTCCAAATATGGAGGAAATAAAAGTATATATATCTATAGCACATTTATGTTCATTGTCCAATTTTAAAGTTTGAATATCGTAATTTGGAAAAGAAACTTACTGGCGTAATATCCCAGTAGATTTTTTACGTCATTAACATCGACCTTTTAGAAACGATACCTCCTTTTGTCCATTTATCATGAAAGTAACCAGAATCTAAAGTGACATTTAAATTTCATAAACATGAGAAGTACGAGAAGTACGTAATAGTTATAGTACATGAAACGAGTTAGTTACGAGGATATAACGCTGGCTGGGGCGACATCAATGGGTGTTTCTGCTAAAAAATGGCGAGGCCGTTAGGCCGAGACAATTTTTTTTGCAGAAACATCCCGAGATGTCGCCCCAGCCAGTGTTATACCCCCGTAACTAACGAGTTTCATATACTATAACTGTTTTATCGCAATGACATAATGTTTTCTTTTTTTGTAATAGAAACAAATAAATGAATAAATCGTTAGCTACATTACAGCTTTTTATGATAAGGCAGTTTTTTCAAGTTGTTTTCGCTGCCGCCAAAAAAAAAATACAAAAGACATCCAATGTTAGAGGCGGATTGTAAACTGTTACCAAGATCGATTCAAGATAAAAAGGCTTTTTTCAGTGGAAATAACATAACAAGAATAATTGATGTACCTTTTTACAGACTCGTTAAGATTAGATATTAGTACTTTCTATAAGGTACTCATTCTTAAGACAATCAATTTCCATGGCATTTTCTCTCTTCTAAACATGGTGCTGATTTGATTGATCGATATAATATCGATAGATATATCAAACATTGAAATCGTGTTAGTTACAAAACTTTGTCACTTCCGGGTTTATACATTACGCCACATCATTCGTAATTAGCTCGGAGAAAACACTGTTTAAACTTTTCTTTTATAAATGATTTTTATATAAGCTCGAATGCGAAACAAATTCTTGCAACTTATAATTAGAGCATATCATTTTTTTTTAATTTGCCCTTTGAAGGACATATACAAACATATTTCTTTCAAAGAAGCCTCTCTGGAGGTCTTATTTTTTCAAAATTCAAACAACAACTTTGTAAACTGCACGTAGCAGATCAATAGCTTTATACACGTTCTGGAAATGTGGACAAAATTATTGACAATGCCAATGTGATGATATAACATCGTAATACTCAAGTACATGTACATGTATCTAAAATGTGATATAATGCTCTGTTTACAAAATTCAGACATTCCCAGCTTATAATCTGCTGTGAACGTTGTCTTTGAGACAAACGGGCTTGGCGTTCTTCTTGTATTTTTCAAAACAAGTCACTATCATAACGAATTTATTTACTTAATGACACACACAAACGCTCGCATACAAAAATAATGCAACTTAGGTATTCAGATTTTCTACCCTGTCGATATTGAACATTAAGTAAAATGGCGTAAAGTTTCTAGAACCGTATGTAAGATGCGGCCGACCGTACTAATTTTCAATGTCGGAATAAAGAATAAGTCCACATTCAATTAATACGTTTCTATTCACTGTTAGTTTGAATGATTTGATTAATCTTCAAAGAAGAATAGATATTTAGATATGAAAACAACAACAACAACAAAAACATTAAATAAGAAAAAAAATGTTATTTGGCGTATCTTTAAGGAGGAGAATATCCACCACTTTATTGAAAATGCACCGTGACATTACAAGAAATGTTTCCTATTGGCATACTTAAATTTCTATTCGAAATCTTTGTTGTTTTCATGTTGAAGTTCTTTTAATGTCATATTCCTATAACAACAACAACAACAATAATGATAATAATAATCGTATAAAGGTAACTTGTGTTAAAGGCACATTATGCTTCATAAATCCATATATTTTTTTTATCTTAATAAGTGCCAAATATGTGTTTAATAAAGTATTAATAATGTTAAAAATCATATTATATGTTTAACAAATGGAGAATGTGACACTGAACGTGCAGTTATGTGTAGTAAAGGTAGCAAAATGTAAACAAAGAAGTATTTTGAACTCAATACAAATACCAACTCCGACAATTTTAACAATTGCAAAGTGAGCAAAAAAAAGCGTATATAGCAAATGAGATTTTGTTGTTGTTGTTGTTGATGCAAAAAAAGTTTTTGAGAAATAAAATTGATAGTATTTCTGAGGCACAATGGGCCTTTAAGTAGCAGGTATACATATCTTATATGTTCAGAACAGTTATAAAATATATGTTCTGTTCTGTTCTTATATGTATTGTGACATTATTTTATTGTTGAATATCAAAAAGATGGTTTCCTTACTGAAACATAACTTTACGAATATGAGCCGTATCACGACAAAACCAACATGATAACCAACATAATGGGTTTGCGACCAGCATGGATCGAGACCAGCCTGCGCATCCGCGCAGTCTGATCAGGATCCATGCTGTTCGCTATCAGTTTCTCTACATGTAATAGGGTTGGTAAGCGAACAACATGGATCCTGCATGTCTCCGCGCAGTCTGGTCTGGATCCATGCTGGTCGCAAACCCATTATGTTGGTTTTGTCGTGACGCGGCTCATATTATTACATTGATTTTAATATTCATGATATATATTGACGCACGAGGTGTTTTATGAAAAATGTTTTATTAAACGAAAATAAAATGGTATTCTTATAAATATACTTAACAATATATATATATATAGTCAATTCAACTCAAATGGACCATCAAAACAATGACCATAATGTCACTTTAAAAAAAATATTTTGTAACTTTTTTATGTTAAGTTATGAATATTTTGTTGCTGTACATGATGTTATATTATACAATGGAAATAATGATTAAGAAAAGAATTAGATCACGTTTTTCAGATCATAAAGTAACTTATTTCTTTCAGAAAAGTTTTTTGCAATAGATGGGGTTCCACATTTCGTGGACCCGATGCGAAAAGAAGGGGGAAAAAACTGTAAAAGCATAGTGTTGAAAGAAAAAGATATTTTTTTTATATCATCTGCGGAATTCATTTTTTAAATAGAACACCGGAACAGACTTAAATGTCACCAGATAAATTGATATATCTAAGGAGTTTTCTACTATATATGATTAAATGATTAAATAATAAATATAGGAAAAAAGATGTATTTATATCACGTGTGATTGATTTTTCTATCTGACCGTAATATGGCAATATAAAACTGCGTCAAACATTTACAAACTCTTTTGTGATTTAATGAAACACCGAGACTATCATAATTTGTTTGGGCAGACAATGGGATTCGAAAATTGGGTAGTGACAGGTAAAATATTGCTCACCTATGTTGTTCACAGTTTCGACAATATTTACAAATGATGCCAATAAACCGTTTTCACGGATGTACTATTATTTTTGCGCTTTTTTTTTTACTATTTTCTTCTTCTTTTTCCCTTTTCCTTTTGAAAATGAGGGGGGGGGGGAGATCTTTTTTTGCATCTCTGAAAAACCAAATTATAACTGCATCATTTAAATGAAACATATGGTTTATTTTTACCTATTTGAATTGCAAGTATATAGTCTTCTGGGTGTATTGAATAATTCGTCTAATAGTGGTTGGTATAATGTATAAGCTGGGTTTTAATAAAGGCTTAAACCTTGTTCAACCAGTCAAGAATCCGATCCCTAAACTACCTACAGTACTGTGACCATCAAAGTCGTGCTCGAACGCGATAGTGGCTGAAATTTCTCGTCTCAGTGTGCTGCATTAAAGTTTTAATTAAATAACAGAACAGTACAAAAAGTTTATTTAGTATAATGCATTGTACAGCATACACCCATACAAACAAAAGGGATGAATGAATGAATGAATGAATGAATGAATGAATGAATGAATGAATGAATGATTGAATGAATGAATGAATGAATGAATGAATGAATGAATGAATGAACGAACGAATGAATGAATGAATGAATGAACAAGTTAGTAGTTATTAATAGTTATTACACCAATTTTAACATTCAGATCTTTTAAATAATTTGATTAAATCATCAATTGATTAAACAATTCACGCCCAAGGTATACATAGATATACTGGATCAATTGCTTATACATATGTATTTATCTTATAAAAAGATATCTTTAAATCAAATATACAAACTACATTGTGCAACAGTTCTTAGGATGGGCATCTAGCAAAAACCATTTTTTTTAAAAATTTATTTCTTTTTTTTTTAATATCTTTTTTATTTTACTTTTTTTTATAAAGAATTGATGAAAAACATATTTTTGTAAGTAAATAAATAAATAAAGTTAATGTCTGAACATAGAAGAGTGATGTATGGCCAAAATGCCAAGTTGTGATTAGCGAATCTGCCAAGCTGCAATAGCTGTGAACAACAAAGTGCTGAACACCGTCATGTCAAAGGTCGTCCGTATATATACACATTCAGCAAAGTGAAATCGTTACAACTGGTACTGAAGCCTTAAGAAGAAGAACATAAAAAGTTCAAGAAAAGAATATTTGATTACGGACTTTGAATACGGATTTTATTTATAAAATTGGACATTGGTTTTTTGAAACATATTACTTATTTAATTCATTAATATTTGATATATTACATAAAAATATGAATACAAGAACACAGCACCCGTTCAGTATTGACTTTATCACGAGGGAAGAGTTAAGAAGCGAAAGGGAGAATCTTGGAATCAGTCTTTACAACGCAGCTCAGACTGGTGACAGTATGGAGAAGGCACAAGTAAATAGATGCCGGCAGACCCCTTCACCAACGGACAGCGGGCTTGAGTCCGACCACTCGCCATCTAGATCGGAGCCGGGGCAGTCCGACAAAGACAGCTCGATTGCAGAGGTAAGCTAGTAATTCATTTTAAAAATAATATTAGCATTTATAATTTTAGAAAAACATTTAATGCAAGTAAAATGAAAAGAAAAACATCTGACTTTTCATATTCACATGCATTGCGAATTAAATCAATAATTTCATAAAAATAACAATAAAAATAATTTTGGTTAAAACAATGTTTGCATTTTCATGTACATAAATATTAGAATATTTATAAGATTTGTATCTGGATCTTCGTATTTCGAATTAGGATTGAGACAAAACAAAAACGTGGGCCAATTTAACTCATGAAGGCAGATTTGTTTTTTAAGCGGGAAGAATGGCAAAGTTGTTTTGTAGTAGACTCAGGGTAGTGCTAAATGTTAAATAATTGTCGCGAAAAATTACCAAAGTGTACACAAAGTTATCTATGTCATTACCTTTACCTTCTCCTCCTTCTGAGCATTTAAGCCAAGATGGCTTGTAAGCTCCTCCTATACAGTATTATCAAGATAACTTCAGTAAATGTCACTTGTATTAAATCTTTGACTTTGCCAGCTCCGGTCGAGTAAAGTTTTAAATGTCAAAACACTTTCACTGAGAACAATGTTTTCATCTAAATTATTCCACTGGTCATCTATGCAAATACTTTACTTTATTTTACTAACGGCAAAGAAACAACTATTAATGTTCTAAATTAAATCTTAATAGATAATAGAATTTGTGTAGGCTTTATATGGCCCTTTGACTTTATAAAAAAAAGAGTGTAATACATGTAGACAATTTATAGAATGGAAATAAACATGTCTATTGTCGAGTGGGCAACACATTTGATTAGCAACATTAACAATGAGCAATGTCATTGTCTCCAATCCACGAGATTGTAACAGAAATTGCGTAGAATGATGTGTACTTTAAAATAAAAGAAGAAACTGTCTTAAAAGAAAAAGGAAAACAAAAATCACATTTCCTTGTTTTTCTGCTTAAATAACACCAAAAAAACTAACGTGACTTACCTAGGATTAGGAATTACGAAAGAAAATTAACATTGTTTTCTTATTTTTATTCAGGTCCTGCTTTCATTGGAAAAAAATGTGAGTGGTAAAAAATCAAAGGTGAAGGACATTGCAGCAGATAAGCCTTCCCAATCTTACATCGCACTTATATCCATGGCAATCCTTAGTACATCAGAGCGTAGGATGCTGCTCAGCGACATATATCAGTTCGTGATGGATAATTTCGACTACTACAACAACAACGAGAAGGCGTGGCGTAACAGTATACGTCACAATCTTAGTCTCAACGAGTGCTTCATCAAAGCCGGAAGAGCCGATAATGGTAAGATCCTTAAAATATGTAGAGTACATTAGTATTATGATTTAAAAAACAGATATTTTATTCGAAAAATTAAAAAATAAAATGCGTCAAATGTTAAGGAATTAAAATGAGCTTTTTTTCTCGTGGACTCAATAATTAAGCAGCTTTTCTACTTGTTCTGGGGTAACAAAATTACATGTACAATCAAAGAATACATGTATGTGAACATGGATCTATATCAAGTGAATGTATTCTGATTGAATAACATTGATTAGATCGACTATAAAGGTCACGAGAACTTGTCATCGTTTATAATACTAGCCATTTCATTTGAGTCTTATTCAATTTTTCTCTTTTAAAGGAAAAGGTAACTATTGGACCATACACCCAGCATGTATTGACGACTTTGCCAACGGTGATTTTCGCAGACGCCAAGCCAGACGCCGTGCAAGAAAATGCCTAAAAGATACGAATCAACATTATGTCACTTCTGCTCATAGATACAACATCGGATACGTTCCTATGACGGCTTCACACATCGCCTTTCACCCGTATAACAACGCTTCTGGTGGGTCCTCGATGTATTATCCACAACCCCACGTTTACCCTCAGCTCGCGCAGGCGCACCAGCAATCTACGTCAGCAGGTACATTTTCCTACGCCAGTCAGCCACAAACAAGTTACCTCTCCGCATGCGCTTTAAGTGACCAGCAGTCAAAGACATCGTCAGCCTCCTTGCCCGCACACAAGCTATTGGCCGACCAGGCAAGCTCGGCAGCGTTCACAATGCAAGCTTTTGCACAGCAACAGATGGCTTCGAATTTACAATTCCAGAGTTGGTAACATGATCGAAAAATTATATTGGTGGAAATGTGCTATATCTCTCTCTGTATAAAAATGTTATATAAATTGTAAATATGTATGATAAATTCTATTAAATTATTCTTTATATATTGTAGTTTCTATTTTGTTTTGAATGATAATTTATTATATTTATGTTGATAATCATTCTCCATATGATTGCAATGGCTGTCCAATATTGCTTACCCAGGGTGTTCCTGATTTCTCCCAATATTTGAATGTTTCACTATTTGCAAACCGATATTTCACTGCTTTTATACATCTATACAAACATTGATGGGCGTTTTTCAGCCGAAATATTTCTGACATTGAAAGAATTCAGAGATTGTTTTATAACGCCACGAGACAAACAATAAACAACCCCACACCAAAGTCAATAAAAGGACAGAAAAGTTGCTGCTAACTTGAGACGTTTTCGGGAGTTTTCATACAGACATATATAGGCAAAATTAAATTGTTCAATAGAATTTCTTAAAACTTGACATGTTAGATTATAATAACATTTGAAGCAAAAAAATGGCGTTACCATCCTCCTTATTGAGTTATTTGCCCCTGAATTGAACTTTTTCACAATGTAGGTAAACAATGATTTGATTTGATTGTTTTATATATATAGTTAACTTCTGTGCAAAATTAAAGAGCAGATTGACTATTTCCCCTGTGCTTTTTTTTTAAATGGCCTATTTTAAAAAACTGGAGAAAAAAAACAGAAATAAGACATGGCATTACCTGTCATTATGCATTGTGATCAACAATAAAAAGAAAAACATGACCCAGAATAGACAAAACAAGATTTTATAGCATATAACTCAGGACAGATAACTCGGGAGTGAGACAGTGACCCCCAAATTTGTTTCGCTTAAAATGTTTCTATTATCATATTCTAACAACATGCCAAGTTAAACAAATTTTATTGAACATTGTTAATTTTGCCTATATGCCTATATCCCTGAATTCTTTTAAGGTCAGAAATATTCAAAATATAGACTAACAAAGAAAAGAAGATATTTAAATAGCTGAAAAACAACAGAATGTGTATTATAGCATTGATACAATAAGGGTTGCTTTAATTAATGCAAATGTTTTATTAGTTTGTTTGACACTTGTGTTATTTAAGGTAGCTCGCTACTTTCCGACCGAAATTTGACAATATTTCAGATCTTGATGATTTCTTGTATACAGACATGTAGATATGTAAGCTTTATTTCTGCAGTATTATTTTATAAATAAACAGCGTTACTATGACGTCAAAGCGCCCTCTATCGGTGGCGGCGAAATTGCGTCTTTTTTATCAATAAACCGGTCTGTTATTATCAATTTTCATCCGATTTCCTTCATTTTAATTTCATAATGTTCAGTAAATGTATGTCTTTGTAATGATGTCTTTCTTGAACATTTGCTTAATACTCTGCGATTCTACGTTATTTTCCCTCACGTTCTGACGTCCATATTTGATGCAAATATCGCGCGATATCGCAATAAAGATTGTGAAATAATAAAAAATCAACACGGTGAATTTTGCTATAATTTTTTTAACACATAGTGAAGTCATAAAAGAAAATATTTATGCAATAAAAATATAGGGTCAACGCGTAAGATATTTTGCTATTACTATTTGAATATAAAATAGACGGTGAGTAAAACGTAATGATTTTGGTGACGTCAAATATTTTTCTCAAGGAAATTTTCACGACTTTTTCGATAAATAACATACTGACAGGAATAACAATGTGTGAAAACCATCAACAACAATAGTATGTAGACATGTTCCGTAAAAATGTTCTTTTAAAAGTCCTGTCAGATGCCTGCTTTTCGATGAATATCTTCAATTATATACATGCACAACAAATCAGGGTAAAACTGTCTGCAAAAGTTGGTATCAATCGCTGAAAAAACTGTAACGAATGGATATAAATACCTCGAGGACTGAAAGACAATTCAGAATATTGAAAGATATAATTAAAAGGCCACCTAAGGGGAAATTATAAAAACATAAATTTTGCAAAGAATGTCAGAAAAAAAGAATGAAAAGGCTGATGCAGTCGCAATATCATCATGTTATGTGTATCTCGGTACAACATAAACTTCCATGTTATCATATGTAACAATTTTGACTTGTATATATCAGTAAGTAGGAACAGAGACATAAATAACATCTATGTCTGTGGTAGGAAATGAATCAAATTTACGTTTCAAAAATATATGATCAACTGGAAGTAGCAACGATTTGTACGTAAGTCATGATTCACTAGTAGTCTTATTTATATCATAAAATCTAGCAGACATTTAATTCAAAAATTTTCTACACGTATAAAAATTTATTTATTAACAGCCATCAGTTATTCTATTTTCTCTCGCAGCTAAATACCCTGCACTTAGCGTGAGACTCAGATTTAAAGCAGGAATCACGCTCTCATGCTATGGCTTTAATTTCTCACGTATTTCACATAATTATAGATATTCTTATTTATTTTAAACTAGCTGACTCGCGATATGCGTTTACTAGCGCATCTTTGAGTCGACCTGAAGCCGCGATCATTTCTCGATTAGAGGCGAAAGATCCGTTGATTTATTTTGTATGTTAAGAAGCGGAGAATTTTGCATATTAAATACAGATTCCCTTGTATTGAAGGCGATTATGTAGGATTTTCAATTTGTGTGATTTTGGTTGTGGGAGAAGCTCGTTTTTTGTCTGCACATAATGCAGTGCTATGTAGAGACTATGAAAATAATGAACTATGCATTTTATGTTTTATATCTTCTTATTTTTTTTAATATTGGGTTTAACGCCGCTTTCAACAGTATTTCAATTAAAGCGGAGGGAATTTAACGAAACCAGTGTCTCTCACAGTATCAACTTCTCTTTGGAAATGAATGACAGGAGTCCGAGGTGGACCTTGAAACATTTCATACATAGTTACCAATTCTAAAAGATAATCTATTAGTACAATACGCAATCGTGTCTCGAATCCATGCCTTCCGAATTCAGCGTAAGACCACTTTACCGATTACAACGTGGCAAAAGAAGAATATTCAAAGTTAAAAACCTGATTATGATCTCCGTTAATGAGGGAGAAGTCCATTTTATTGCTAATATGATAAACATGTGTTGTTGGTGTGTGTTTTGAGGTTGTTGTTTTTTAAAACTGTATTGTATTAATCATGAACTAGATAACGTCAACATAATACATTATTCGTATTCAGTGTAACAAAAGTTGCACAAGTTAGTTAATAATTATATTTTGTATTTAATTAAAATATACAGTATAACCTCTACAGAGAAATGCCCTTTGTTGCCTAAAGTGGTTGCTCTACAGAGGTAAAATGTAGTGGAACTCTTTAGAAATAAATAATACTTGAGGGCCGCTATGTTATACTGTACAGTAATGAAAAAACGTAATGAGTCCGAGTTGAGTAATGGTTATATTGGGTGTTTCACATTCGAGTCTGCAGTTGCGAATATTGCTTATATATTTTTTATTCAGTATGAATTTGCTTCCAAAATAGTTTATAGTTTGTCACATAAGTGCTCATTTTCTAATTATCATGACATTTTAATTAGATTATAATTTTATAATCTATGTATTGCACAGACTTAAAATGGTAAGCAAAAAATAAAAATAAAATATAAGGTTTCTGTTTCTTGTACAGTTTGTTTTTAAATATTCTTAAAGGGACTCCACTGAGGTTGAAAAGCCAAACACATAACATTTGAATTTCTTACATAAATGAGCCGGGCACTTTAAACAGAAATATATGCGAAGATAGTTATAAATATACTTTGAAATAAATTGAAAATCGTAATTTTTATGCTTTTGTTAGCCCGATTCGGGTGAAAAGCGTTTAAACGCTTTTCATTTTTAATAATTATTCTGGAAAAACAAAGTGCGCGAATGCTCTGAAATTTTGCACAAAGATTAATGGTATAAACCTACATCAAATGGTACATTTATCTGGAAAAAATATTTTCAGTTCCATCATGTCAAAAAACCTCAGTGGAGTCCCTTTAACATATTTGAATATTATTTCTAGTTTTTATTTATCACTTATTTCGGCACATTTGTATGCATATCTTTTTTATTTGTATTTTACTATGTGCTTTGACACCGAGGCTCGTCTGCCTGTATGTGATTTTATGAAAGTGTTTAAAGGCTGAATAAAATATTCTACGGGTATAAGCTAAGCGACCTAATATTCTTACTTCATTCATACAGCAATATGTGAATCTTATTTTTTTGGACTGAAACTAGTTAAATCATATAATAATATAACACTTTAACAACATCACATTATAAAATTAGAATTAAAAGATGTATGAAACTGTGGCCTGCAAATTAGAAAAGTATTTAAAAAGGGATTTTTGGATTAAACATTGTAAATGTGCTCATCTAGCGCATGCTTTCAATGAGAAAATAATCAACAATTTAAAAAAATACATTTCATCAAGTCCCTGTGTTGTTTATACTTACTATCGTTATGTTTGACGTAAGAAAATTGTTATTTGGTATTATTCTTTGAACGCCAACATCTATTAACGTCACCAAAATCATAACGTTTCACTCACCCTTTATTTTATTTTAAAACAGTAATAGCAAAATATCTTACGCGTTGACCCTATATTTGTATTGCATAAATATTTTCCTTCACTTTCTCACTACACTCTCGGAAAATTATAGCAAAATTCACCGTGTTGAATTCTTTTTATTACACAATCTTTAATGCGATATCGCGCGATAATTTGCATCAAATATGGACGTCGGAACGTAGAGAAAAATGACGTAGAATCGCAGACTATTAAGTTAATGTTAAAGAAAGACATCATTACAAACACATACATTTACTGAACATTATAAAATTAAAATGAAGGAAATCGGATGAAAATTGTGAAGAACAGTTCGGTTTATTGATAAAAAAGACGCAATTTCACCGCCACCGATAGAGGGCGCTTTGACGTCATAGTAATGATGTTTATTTATAAAATAATACTGCAGAAGTAAAGCTTTCATATTTATATGTTTGCATACCAAAAATCATCAAGATCTGAGATGTGTCAAG